TTGGGGGTGGGGGTGTTGGATTAACTGGTGCCTGGGTGGGATGGAGGAGCAGCTGGCGTGGCTACAGTGACCCAGAGAGCTTGGGCACAGAGAAGCAGAGCAGGTTAATGATCAGTCACCGGGGCAGCGAGGTCGTTATCTGTACACAAGCCAATCTACACCTGAGGCACCTTTGGAAAACACTAACCAATTAGCCTGAGCAGCAAAAACAAACATACATCTGCCATAGTTAAAAAGTCCCACATTACACATTACAAAATGGATTCTTGTGAGATTTAAACCATGTTGCAATTTCTTGCCTCCTCAAAAACATACCTGCAGTTGTGTTTTGTTACATTCACATATGTCTGAGTAACACTTTATTATTAGTCTGTCGACATTTCAAAAGCTCAAAATGCTCTGTTGCATTTTGTGATGTCATGAAGCAGTAGTTTAAGTTAACAGCTACCTTTGACCTTTTGTCCAGTACAGATTGGATTGAATTTCAACTCTGGAATTGCCAATTATTCTAGTGAAAGTGTATGGAGTTAAAAACACAATGGAGCACTTCCTGTATTTTCACATGACATCAGAGGTGGAACAGTGTTTTCTGTTTTAGAGAAGAACTTGGCCTAAATATGTTAGGTTTCTGTGTATGAAACAAAACAACTCCAGGTATGTTTTTGAGGGGGAAACATTATTAGCCTGATTCATCAGCCGATTTCACATCATGGAAACCATCTGACCTCCCAGCATTAGAATTTGTTCACTCAACAGTAGGTGGGTACTTCTTATCATTTAACCAATTGCTGCTATTTGGTCGTGACGTATGTAATGCGCCTCTAACGGCACTAACTGGTATATTAAGCTTTTAACAGAATATGGGTCCTTTAAACAAAACCAAGTGGCATTTTATTATTTTGAAACAAAACAATTAAAAACTATTAGTCCCATCAATATTAAAGGCAATAATATTGATTTTGAAGGCATAAGGCGTCCCGGGCAATGGTAGGGGAGTGGAGCAGCGGAGCAGCTGGCATCTCAGAATCATCAAAAACAGAACTAGTTAATTTTAAAAGTTTTTGCAGCATTTTTCCTCTTTCCAAACACACTCCAAGCATCCTAATCAGTCACCTCAATGAGTTTACTTTTCACAATCATCAGAGGCCAAAACGAAGCTTTGCCATTGTAATAATAACTGCAACTAGAATGCCAACAGCCCACAAGCAATACTTCCAGGTTTGCGGATGATAAAAACGGTTTACAATTAGATGCAGGCAGAACATAGCGGCATCTTTTTACCTTTATAATATATCTACCTTTTTGTTGTTTGGCCTGGTTACAAACATTTCACAGAATACTAAAAGTGGAACTCTATGTGATGAATGAAAACCCAAATGAACCAAATGAAGCAAGATTTTCAAATAAATGGCCTGATAGTTGATACAACGCGAGTGCCCAGGGGTGAGCTCAGTTACACGGAGCAGGGTGAGGCCAGGCCAGGCGGGCAGTGATCACAAACACCTCAGTCTCACAGAGCCACTCCCAGCACAGAGCACAGTCAGATTACCAAACACAGCGGATTGACCTGGATCAACAGATAACAGGATATGCCCACAGTAAAACAAACACACGCCAACACCTTTAACCACTCACAGCACAAAAAAAATTAAATTAAAATACCACAGACTGAGAGCACACACATCATTACAATTGTATATTTCAGATCTTGTTTTAGATTACTTATCCTCCAGAGATTACTGAGGTAAGCTGTAAGCAACTCAAAGCACATGAGACTAGAAGGAAAATATAAAAATGACTACAATATTTGAAAAGAACACCTTGTTAACAAATTACACAATATGCCAAATGGCCAAACAAGACAAAAACATCCATATTCCTTGATGTTTGAGACCAACTGATGGCCGATAAGCTTTGTTGGTATTGAGGCCAATGTATTTCTTTTGGCAGGTCTGAGACTCGGCTCTAATTTATTTATTTATGTGAAACCACAAAGCAGTCATGGCACAGAGAAGTGGTTTTGGAGCAGAGTCAAGGTCTAAACAACAATTTTAAAAAGTGCTGAATTACACTCATTCACTATGATTACAGTGCCAAAAACTGCAACTCCAGTATTCACCATTTTAAACTAATGGACAGCAGAGTGCCAGTCTCCCAACCACAGGAACTCAAGACAGAAGAGCCAACATCAACACAACAAACCTACAGAGAGAGGAGTGGGAAAAGAGGAGGAGTGGGAGCAGAGAGGAGGAGGAGTGGGAGCAGAGAGGAGGAGGAGTGGGAGCAGAGTGTAAAAGCAGACCTCCACACACATGCAAAAGCACCCAGCTCCACAGGGTTAAAGCCCAGTCACTGGTTTCACTGAGATTCTGTAATGAACAAAAATGTGTTGGCTATTCCAGCAACTCCTTCAGCCAAAAGTCAGAATTACAAATGTATAAATGTTCCTTTAATGGTTCTTACATTACCATTTACTGTCTTATTTTGTCCTCATTTAACTCCAAGCTTTAGATTGCTGCACCACAATCAAGCAGAGAATGCAACTACTAAAACCATTCTGAAACAGAATAGACCAGTCCTGCACTGCTCTCATATTCAATACAAACGTCACATAAATCAGTGTGCAGCTCAGTGACTAGGCTATTTTCCCCAAGTTCCAAAAGGTTTTTAACAACATCAAGGATCTTAACATTATGAACTTGAGTGACGCTGTAAAGGGTAGTCTTCAACAGACTGGCTCTCACATTCCTGAAATACATAGCATCCACTTAAAACAGGCGCTTACACTTCATAAATGTCTGAGCCCAAACACCTGCATTACACTGGGAATGTCAGCTCTGACAAACAACAACAACTGCAGATCACAGTTCACACACACCCCTGCAACTGTCAGTGGCCTTCAGACAGACACATTCCTCAAGTTTGAAGGCACCCCTCAAACTGAAAGAACAAAGACATGTTCATTCAAAAGATGATGCATTCAGCTTTATTTCACTAGTTTGAAAGTCAGGAAACAATTTGTCCACAAAGTACTGGTCTGCAACCAATTTCCTAGTCGCCCACCTGGTTTGGCCTGTTTGTCGTTTTGGAAGATACAGGCATGGAAATCCCAGCAGTTGTTTTGAAATATCCAGGCTTTAATTTTGTCTCTTAAAAGAAGACAGAGGGTATATGGGGGTGGTGGTAATAATAATATATTTTCTTTATAATGCACATTCACTACTTTTGTCATGCAGTCCCAGCATGCACCTCCAAACCTGTTTGTTTTCTTAACGTTAATGGACTTCTTAGAAATGTCGATTGTAGAAAATAAAATCACAAACTAGAGTTAAATCAATGGTTTTGTGTGTTTATTATATTGACATGAGTGTTTTAGCCAGAGAACATCCTGTTGTTGCCATTTCGCCATAAATTTCACATCATTTAAACTATCAATAATCAGTAAACATTATAGGAACAGACAGGGCTTTAAAAGTATATATTTCACAAACATCTCCATGGACCATTTTTGATTATATAAGAAGGTAAAAAGTAAACGAGATGGCTAGACATTGCAGAGATATAGCGAAATCTACGTAATCTACACTTGCCAGGGAAGGGTTCAATCCTTTTAGTTTTAAGATAGCATTGTCTATGATTTTACCCTAACACACACAAAAAAAAATCCCAAAACACCATTCATTACCACTAACCCACCACTATCAATATAGCATCCCTGTCAGATTTTGTCAAATGGGTGCAGGAGCTCCATTGACCTAAGACAAGCTCAAATGTACAAGTCATGATAATTTGACATTCTAGTTTACATTTAGTTTCTTCTTAAATGGGAAAGGTTGGACACACTATATAAAGTTCTACTCCTGGGTACAGTACTGTAGAGTAAAACACATGAGAGGTTTCACATATGGTCCAACACTGAGGTGACGACAAACTCCACGGCAGCACTTCACACGTCCCCGGATAGCAGTGCAACAGGGATTTTCAGTGACTTAGCACTTCACACAGGAGGATATGAGGATGTCAAATACCTTTTTCCAAGCCAGAGAGAGAGAAACAGAGAGAGAGAGAGAGAGAGAGGCAGACAGAGAGCGAGAGCTTCCCCACGCCCTCCATCCTCATCCACCACACCCTGCTCCAAATGCTCATATTATGTAATACAGACAGGGAGCCAAAACACAGGGATGATGATGGATAAACAGCATCCTCTGGTCTCACAAATCTGCAGACTGTGTAGTTTTTATGGTCTGAAAGAGCTTACTGCCGGGATGCAAAGACAATATAAAAAAAAAAACAATGATGATGGCTGGACAGGCATGCCTCAAGAGTGGCAACACATACAGCAGACAAGCAGGTAGGTGTAAAAAAAATCACAACTATAACAAAATCAAGATGAATTATGGAAAATAGAAGGGAAAAACAACAATTGGTGAGATAGATTTCTTCAATTATTTATGAAAGGGAGTACTAGCGCTGAAGAAAGCTTCAAGATAAGTTAAAATACACCCAAGTCTCACAGAAAATAACCAACACAACATTTAAATATTATCATTGTATTATAAAACGTCCTAGCCCATGTATAGTTTTTTCCTGAACCGTTTGGAAGTAAAAATTAAGTCTACTTTGCGTAACATCTTCTGGTAACGTTTAAGGTTTGGTGACAATAGCAAAGGGCAGACACTTCAAGCCGTATCATTAATTAATGGGGCACAATGGCATCTCAGTCACTACTCGACCCTTTTGGCGTTTGTCACGTTTGTTACCGACGCCCAAAAGGGTGCCATCCATCATCTGTGCCGCCACCACCACAGCACCCTGGACGCACATGCAAGACTACAAAGACGCCAAAACAAAACACCAATATCCACGCAGGTTCCTCCCAGAAGATGTTTTGTTGTAACTCGGGACAAGACATATTTATTTAGAGATTACCGATGCACCGCGGATTACGCAAAACAATTTCGCTTGCTGGCCTCACGCTGTAGTAAATTATCCGTACGTACCTTCTAAATACCCACGTCAAGATGTTTCTTTTTGGTCCGAAGCGGAGACAAATGTACGACGACGATGCAAGGAGCTGTAGAAAATTCACTTTGAAACAATGAGCCCCGCGCTGCAGCTGGCGTCCCTCTCCGTGTGCTTCCCTCCACGTTTGAGCCGCGGCAAACAGCCTGGCTTCATGAAGGATGGGCGCGGGGGGAGTGACCCGAAGGACGCGAGCTGTGGGACGGAGAGACGAAGCGTGGAGCCCGTAAAGAAAATGCAGATTAAAATCCCATCAGCGGACCAATCAGGACGCACGGTCGGTGTTTATGCAAATGCTCATTGACGTCAGATATAAAACCAAACCCCTCTCTCATGTTGCTCAGAGGAGTGAGGAGAGGAGGGGGCGCAAATGTGGCCCACAGGATCCATTGAGAGTGTGGGATATAAGTGGTTAAGGACACTACTTTCAAAAATCTAGGAAGTCATAAATTATAATCAAACAAAGTAGCACGCACTGGATAAAGGCAAAATCATGAGAGCACTGTCAAACTACAAAGCAATGCATAAAGAAAAATAATGAAGAAAAAAAAAAAAAGTCAATATGACTGATGTCTGGCTGCTCTACACCAGACTGCAGTTTCACTCTGATCAGTGCTGCATGCATTGCAATGGCTATGCATACTAGAAAGATGATACTGATACTTCGGACGTCCTGAGTGAGAAACCCAGTTACATACTTCACATGTTTATCATTTCTATGGTGCAAATGTCTTCCTCCTGAATACGAGTGTCTCCTTTCAGTGGGCCCAAGTTTAAGACTTTTTACTGAACAAGAATAAACATTTGATTGTATAAATGCACTGCAGCTGTGAGCTCAACAATTGGATTCATGAAGAGAAAGACAGAGCAAGACCAGTGCAAACAAAGAAACACAAAGCATAGATGGGGTGAATCACTGTTTTCTGTAGGCCTTAGTAATGGTCAATGTGCACAAAGGGTGTAAAAAGGAAATAATAAAACACAAAAATAAAGCTTTACTGCTCGTTTTGTAGCACAAGTTGAAGAGTGAGAGTGCATGAGTCATGGCCCAGCCCTGCAGCCCAGGCTCTCCATTCAAACCAGTAGTTTCAGTATTTCCGATGGCAACAAACTGAGTGCCAGAGTGAAGGGGAAAAAAAACAATTCCCCTAAATCTGCTTTTACCATCCTCATTAAGCATACCCACAAAACATTTATTGAAACTGGGTGTGTGATTCATCGAAGTGGAACAAGACTATGGCTGAAAAAGTAAGCTTTATCTTACTTTTATCCAGCATGATTTTATCTTTACTTTATTTATTTATATATATATATATATATATATTTTAAAGGTGCATTGTGTAACTTTTCTGGTGGGGGGTCTGTCAAATGCTTTTCTCAATGGTGATGTTATTGCTTTCTGTAATTTTCTATAAGTTTTCTATAATCAAGGAGACCAAATCAGACCAAGTTACAGGTCAGATCTGTGGAGAGGCAACCCCACTCACAGTCAGAATGCATGTTTTTCTAGGTATTTTTGAGCTATAAATCTATAAAATTTAATAAATGTTAGAGATATTTAATGTCGTACTGAGGAACATTTTAAACAGAGCAATGACATCTCCATAAAAATGAGCAGATGATGGACGCAAAAGAATGAATATATCTCAATTCGAAAAGCTATTACTTCTGTCTCATCATGTCAAGCTACTAACTAATATTTACAGATCTAATATAGTGCCCATTTTACTTCAGTAGTTTAATCTGTATTGAATCTCTTTTATGTAAACTAATGACATCCTTCATTATATCACAAAGCTGCCAAAATCCCCTCACATCCTGCCCATCCATTTCAGATTCCCTGTAATGTGGTTTCACGGGGGAGTGGCCCTGCTGCACTGTGGAGGAAACCCTTAACACAATTAGGATAGACTGGTGCAATAATAGTTACTTATACAGACTTCAGTGCTTAGAAAATGTTTTTTGTGATGCACCTGAAAAAAAAAAAAAAAAAAAAAGACCCTCACACTGGCAAGCAGACCATCACAGCAAACAAATTATACAGATAGTAGCTACTGACCTGACCTAAGTGCCTGGCACCAGGTCACAGTAGCTCCTGGAAAGTGAGAGATACAGGACTACATTCATACTATACTCCATACAACAGTACAACAGCTCACCTTTATGTAACAGATAACACTATGTCCTGTCAGTCATTTTTCTCATTACCTCATGACCTCTTGTATACAGATGAGGGATATATTTTACTTATGCTTTTTAAAATATTTGTTACTTATACATATACATTTATATAATTGTGCCTGATTTTACCCCAGTCCCTTGTTATTTTTGCAACTTATTTTGAACTTATTACCATTTATATTTTTGCTCTTTGTTATTATATATAGTGATGTGTGAGTGACTGTGTCCAAACAATTTCCCTCGTGTCTAAGTCTATTAGAGAGAGTATTTTTCATCTGTATGAGGGGTTATATCTCAACCTGAAAGCAAAAATTCCAGCTCATTTGGTGACCCAGATAATTGGAAACAGACAGCTTAAGTGGAGCTGATCAGTTTATAGCACAGTGCAAATAATTATTATGTATTATATGCCATTTCAAATGTTACCATTCAATGTCATACTGCAAAATTTTACTTGTTGTGTTTGTGTTGTGTCTCAAACCTCTTGTAATGTTTTACCAGAAGTATAAAGTCTTATATACTATACAAAATTGCCAATAAGCTTTAAGCTTTAAGCCATGTTATAATGTTGTTACCTCATCAAAATAATTTCTGGAGTTGTGTTTTGTTTCATTCACACATTTGATCATCATTAGCTGATCTACCTCTCTAAAGTTCAGAATGCTCTGTTCCACTTTCTGATGTCATGAAGTAATAGTTTTCAAGTTAACAGCAATATTTTATCTTTTATTCAGTAGAGATTGGCAATTCTCAGACTGAAATTATCCAGATGATTGTAATAAACGTGTATGGAGTTTGAAAACACAATAGACAAGTTGGAACAGTGTTTTCTGTTTGAGAGAAGAACTCCTAACAGAACCTAAATATGCAGGGTTTGTGTGTTAAAAATGTGTGAATGAAACAAAACACAACACTAGATATGTTTTGATGAGGAAACAGTATTATATAATATACATCAGAAAATGACATAATATAGGCCCTTTAAGTGTCAGCTGCCGAAACTGGGCTGGACCATCCATCAGGAGTAGAGTGGTGCATAATGTATGGCGGTGTTAGAGTGAAGATGCCTCATCATAAACTAAAGGCCTGTGTCTGTGCAGCTCCAGAAGCAGGAAATGACCTCATAATTTTGGACTGTCCTGAACACGACATGAGACAGACCAGAAACAGACCATGGCCTGGGGGCCATATGTCCAAACTCAACACAACACTGTATTCATGTTATTACCTGTTCTCTGTAACTTACTGATTATTGAGAGTGATGCAACAAGGAAACCATTAGAAATGCACACACAGACACATGTGAACGTACACCTCTTCTGAACTCTGAAGCATAGCTTGTATTTAATGATTCAAATAATTCAATTCACAGTACAAACAGAACAAGTATCCTTTAGTTTGGTTTCAAGTAAAAATTCAAGTGCTGTATGGAAATGGAGTAGAGTTATCATGTACATAGTACATATGTACAAATATATATGAGTAAAAAGACTAAAACTGTATTCTAAATACAAAGGGAAAACTTGTACATTGGTTTGTACATGCAAAAACTAAAAGCATTTCTTAAACTATTTATAAGATATAATGTTATTGGCACAGTTCTGATTAAAATGAGTTCTGAAATCTTGCAAAAAAAAATATACTATAAAAAAAGGAAAAGAACAGGTCCAAGTCATGTCTGCATTACATTGCCCTGTCCCATAAAAAGTAAATTCTTTGAGTTCATGAACACAGAGTGGATAAAGTAGCTTCTGTAGTGTCCTTACTTTGTGCAACAAAACCATTTCACACAAAATTTGTGAGTTTATGTAGATCAGGACTTTTCCCAGGTTAGGATTCTCTAGTAGAAACATTTACTTGCTGGCAGCTTTTAATTGGATAACTTTATATTTAGCCTCTATTAAAACATTATTAAGATACACTGAGATGTGCAGTAAAACGTGCTATTCAGCACCATAACCCTCATATCCGGTCTGACACTTTTTGTAACAAACATTTTAAAATACAATGTACATGTTTTGTCACATGTATTAGAAATGAATTAAGTTTTTTCTACACTTTAAGGCAATGTTTTAAAGAATACTGCTGCTTTAAAACCATATAGACTTATATTTGTGCATTAGTGGAGCATTGGGGGAGGCATAAGTGAAAGTTTTCATTTCAAGCAGCTCCTCCTGTTGAGCGAGTTTGGCCCATATAGAGTGGCACACTCAGACGCAATGTGTCCTTAAGGCCACTAGAGGGTGGCAGTGCGACTCCTGAGGTCACAGAGTTTGTTTTCAGTTCACCAGAAGGACATCTTCATACGTCGTCGTTCTGAGGAATACAATATTTATGAAAACAAGATCTCTGTGGTGTGGTGTTATTGTACAGACTCAATAGTTACCTGTCACAGCAGCAGAAGAATGAACATGGAGAGGTTTCCAGACCCCTGAACTTTCCTGAGCTTGGCGCATCAGTGCATTCTGCTATAAAGGCGTGCAGGTCTGTGATGTGGATGGGCTCTTGTGTTTGATGCTGAATTAAATAGAAAACAAAAAGATAAATATTTAAAAGATAAATAAGAAGATCAGTTGTTAATTAAGTTAATATTAGTTAGATGGTGAAAGCTCATTGTTGTTGAGTGTGTACCTTGATAGTCTCATATGCTCCTGTGATGAGAGCGATGAACAGAGATAACACCATGTAGATGAAGAGGGAGATAAAAGTGTACAGATACACCTGGCTGAAGAGCCACACGAGAGCACTGCTCTCCCTCAGGCCCGCAAATGTCACAAACATGTCGTCTCCATTGATCAGGGAAAAGAGGCACTCGGACACCATAGACAAAGAACGGAACTGAATGAAACAAGATTTACCATGATTAATAGGTTAAAATGTTACACAATAATTATAAAAGGGTAATTTACCTTGATATGATAAGGTCCAAGGACTATCCAGCCACAGAAGCAATAACCGAGGTAGATGACAGCCACGCAGCAGCAGAAGCGTATGACATTGGGAAAGGCAGCGCGGAGGGTTACAATCAAAATCTGTATTGATAGAAATCGAGTCAATCAAGTGTCAGATAAATTACAAAATCACTGTGTCACTGTATGTACTCTGCCCTATAAAGAAAAAAACACAGTAACTGTGTATTTTGTCAAAAATTACACATATTTTCTTTAGTGTCAACTACAAAAACTCAACTCCACTTTGTTTTTGAGAAATCTTGATGTGAAATTTGCAGTAAGTATGGTTTCTTCAGTGATTTCAAAGGAAAAGTGCAATAACTGCAGCAACTGACAAACTGTGCTGATGTTTGTGGTTGATAAATATTAACTCGTCCTCTGGTAACCCACAAACACACATTAATGTACTTCTGAGGGACAACATCTAAACATTAAAGCCATTTTTGTCAGTTTAACTGTCAGTGCAGATACTGTGGTTTTCCCTTGTAGGGCAGTATTGTTCAGATGATTAGAACTGTAATAGAAATACTCACATTGTACTTTTGGAAGAAGGTCAGATAACGAATGACTCCAACCCACACAAGAAGTGTCGAGGTTCCCAGCAGTATCCCACAGACGTCATAGGAAGAGAAGTTCTGCCAAGAGGAAATTATAATTTATTTTAGTTGTAATGAAATAAAAAGGTATATTTAAGTATTAAGATTGCACTTACCTTTGACTCTATTCCAATTTTGATAAATGTGCCAATGAGGGTGAATATGTCACTGATGATGAGGAGAATGAACCAGGTGTTAATGAACTCCAACCGGTCTGACCAGCACACTTTACGATCCATACACTCTTTGAAAAACTGGACAAACTCCTAAATGACGCCATTAAGATAAGTTATACATAGCAAAGAAAAAAACTGAACTAAAAAAACATAGAATTGTGCAATGATTTTCCATAATGTGGTTCATACTTGCTGCAGGATAATCCCTCTCAGTATGGAGCGTCCACAGAGAAGAAGTGACAGCAGGCACACCACAGCCACAATCACATCAAACGCCATGCGACTGTAGTTTTCAGCTGTAAACAACAGACAGTTGTTTACAGACACAGTCATCTAGTGTTGTCAGAGACTTAAACTAATGTAACCCTGTAATGACAAATAACCTACCTTGCCCCGAGACGCTCGGGTCCTTACACTCTTTTATAGATGCATCATTTTCAAGCCAAATCTTCACTTTGCCACTGTGAGCTTTGTTGTCTAGGACTATCTGCAAGTTATTGTAAAAGACACAAAAATATTAGCACAAAAAAGTCTATACTTTAATAATACTGTATATCTAAAGAAATAGACACTCACAGTAATTGAAAATGTATAGCAGTCTGGGATCTCATTGTTGATGATAGTCTGAACATTGATTGCTTTTAGTTGGAACTGGATAGTGACGTTAATGAGCCTGTAGACAAGAAAGAGTTCAAGACATTGAGAAAAAAAAACACTTTGCAAAAAACAAAAGTCATTATAAGGCAGATGACAAAGCAGAAAAAATGCTTACTTGTGGAATTTAAGGGTGAAGTTCCTGTAGGTGTTGGTGAGAGGAACTGAAGGGACTAACAAAGGGTTCACTCCAACACAATCTGAGCAAACACAGACACGATATAAAGTGTATTACAGATACAATATAAAGTGTATTAGAATAGAGGGGTGGGCAATATTGACAAAACTGCCCATCCCTTGCAGCCTTTTTTTTTAGTCCATTATCCTTTATGCAGTGCACTCATTAAACAGAGGCACATTCCCAGTGAGACAAACTAACGCATTTGGACTCAACAAATCAATCAAAAGTAGCCAGCTTTGGTGAAGTGATAGTTTAGACCATATCATGATATCCTTTGAGCCTTAAAGGTGCATTGTGTACATTTTCTGGTGGAGGGTCAATCAAATTATTTTGTCCATGAAGTTATTTTTGCTTTGTCTGGAATGTTTCACAGTATGGAATAAAATGTTTCTATCTTCAGGGAGACCAAACCAGGCGAACTTACAGGGCAGATCTGTGGAGAGGCAACTCTGCTCAAACTCAGAATGCCTGTTTCTCTAGATATTTTTGAACTATGTCACATGTAATCGAATAAATGTAAGGCAGAGCTATTTAATGTTATACTGTGGACTCATGTCTCCATTACATCACCCTATCCCATAGAAAGTACTAATAAATCCTTTGACTTCCTGAATACAGAGTGCATGAAGTAGATCAGCTTCTGTAGTATACTTAATGTAGTGTGTTAGAATTCTCCAGAGGAAAAATACAACACAAATAATAATGATAGTCAGATAAAATAGCATATTAGATTGTACATTTACCTGTGATGATGTGAGGATCTATATCGAAAGTGTCATTGGTGGGATCAATATGTCCTTTCTTGTAGTACTGCTGGCACAGGGACAGGGCAGTGCCATTCACACCCACACCGTACACATAGGCATAGCGTCCTATTGTGGTCTCAGGTAAGGCTAGGTACTGTAGAAAAGACAGACAAATAGTTAAATACGCAAGTACTCCAAAAATGCAACGTCATCAATATGAGAGTGTGAAGCTTACTGAAAGCACTACTCTGTTAGAAGCTCTGTTACTTAAGTTAGACTTAATCTGAACTTTATTTTAACAGGATCTGTTCACAAAAAGACCGGACTTCATTCTACAACAGGTGAGCGGATTTGTGATGTTAAACAAGTCTTTCACACATAAAATATCACAAGCTAGTCACAACAGTTTTTCAGTCAGTCACTCTCACTTTTTTATTGAAAATCAAACACCTAAATGGGGCCATGAATGCTCGTATTCATCACATACTCCTGAAAATTTGTTCTTTCAATTCTTTTGTGTTTTTTCAGACTATCTTAAAATAGGGTGACCAGATTTTTCAAAATAAAAAACTGGGACATCTCCGGTTTGTGGTGGTTGGTAATAATACAATTGGGAATTGACTGAGTAATTAAGGTAAACTGTTGTACATTTGGCCCATTCATGACTAAAATGTGTCACTATAGTCACAGTTTCTTTGTGTTTTGGTCATTTTTAAGCAGTTTTTTTTGTATTTAACCTAATCAAATGACAATTCAGGCCTCTCTTCACTGTTGGTAGGAACATTTCTTATTGTGTCACCGTGGTAAACCCCCAGAGCAACATCAATGCAAAGTAGCAAAAGAAGCAAACCTGGTCCACGGCGTAGAACATGTGGTCATAGACATCATTTTGAGTGTAGACTGCAAAAGAATCATCTGTGGACTCATCGTAGTCTTTGAGAAATAGATTTTTGAATGTCATTGTGTTTTCCTCTTTAAAAGTCACCACCACCTGGTTACTTAGGCCAAACAGCACCAACTGCATATAAAAATAAAACAAAAATATTACATGGTCCATTTAAGCAACATTTTTCTATACTGTTAAGCTATTTTATTTACACTTTCATTTTATATGAGAGTCAAGTTAAAGTTTAGGTGAAATGCAGATATTTCACCTTCACTCATCTTTAACAGCTGACTTATCACATTTTTACAATAGTTGCGGCAGTTTGGTGTTTTTGCAGCTTGTATTTCTGCATTGGAATTCACCAACATTTATCACAAAGGAAGTAATTTTATTGCATATATATAGTCTGAGTAAGGGTTAGCCGCTATGACAAAACATATTCTTTGTATTGTTCCATCACAATTTTCTTAGTTCTTGCTTTCCATATTGATGTTCTGAATATAAACAAAATAGAGCTGTAATCATTGCCATTTTCTTCCATTAGTCAATTTTTTTCTGAAGTCTGTGCCAAACCACATGCTTTTACTGACAATATACTGAGAATTGACTGTGTGGACCTTTCATTTAAAAAGAGTGATGGTCCATTTCAAAGAGCCATTCCAAAGAATTATTTACATGACAGAAGCCAATGTGAGAAGTCATTTTAACAACAAACTAATCACAGAGAAAAATGACCAAGGCTAGGATTTGTTTAAAATGGTTCAAACTGAGAGTGGGAGTGTTTTCCCCATTGAAACTAAACATAAATCAAAATAAAGTGTTGCACTACAATAATAATAATTACAAAACTAACTATTATTTGATGCCAAATATGTTTTTGATGCAAAAAGCTCTCACCCATGTTACCTACTCAACTTCTGTACTAATTCTTTTGCTGATTTAGTGTTAATCAGTATAAAATGCATACAAATTAGAAAGAAAAATATGTGGTTCTTTCAAAAAATGAGATTAGGTACCAACCAGTCCTGTTCAGAAACTGTTGAAGTGTGTTTTAGTAAAATGAGCAGTCTACCTTGTCATAGGCACTTTAATTTCACAGTCTTAGTCTGGGTTTACTTTACCTGTGCAGTGACTATGCCAATTTTGAGAAGTTGTAGTATCAGTTTGTAAGGCTTGCGGCCCTTGGCGTGGTATTTATCACAGGGACTCATGAAGAAGTACTTTAGTTTCCTACGAAGAGCCTCCTCTTTGTGGTCATCCCCGACCCAGTGGCCTGCAGATGGGGGCGGGAGCTGGTGGGTCGTGTGGTTATGTCCATTACTGTTGCTGTGCTTGTGGTGGGTGTTGTGTTCCCCACTGCTGTCCGTAGAGCCATAGTAAGTGACAGGGGAGGAGACGCCTTCTCGTTCTGAAATACAAAGAAAAACATAAACATTAAGAGGGAACTCGCATCTCTTATTTTATCTCTATTCACTTTTGTGGCAAGCAAAGAATTTCAATGAATTTTTAAGGAAACAAAGAATTTTCAAGTTAAAGTGTTAAAAAAGCATATAAATAATCAAAATTCAACATGGACAATAAAGGAAGTTTCAGTGTATTCTAATATCGGTTTGAAGAAGTTGAAATCTTTTAAGTGACGTGGAGCTCAAAACTGTGCTTATGAACAGGAAGCTGATATCTAATAAATACGGTAAATGTAGATTAAGAATTTCTACATATTTTACCGTAATGGTGTGAAATGTTGCAACATTCAGAACTTAACAAATACACTTTAACTGCCAATACAAGAAGCATGTGTATTTTAGAACATAATTTGACTGAACAACTGATCCTATGATCCTTGTCCCCCAGGTAGCATTATATTAACTTGATTTTAACTTGATTTATCACAAAGTTAAAACTATTTATTTATTTACAAAGTAGGAAATGTTATGTTTGCTTATATTTGCTTATGACCATTCAAATCACAATTCTTGATGTAGTTATGTATCCAAAAAAATACAAACAAGCAACATCGATGAGTAAAGCTTCAAAAGTGCTGATGCCAGGTCTAGTCCCAGCACCATATAATCGCCAAACCTCAGCAGAAGTCCCTGTCAGCAGTAGCAGCAGCAGCATAAATTTAAACGTGATCTGCCAACACATTCAGCTCAATCTAATCCCTTTGTCCCAACCACATCACTATGACACTCTCCCCTTTAGCGTTTTAAAAGATTATGAAGGAAATTCCAGGTTAGGTTTGAAAATGTTTGGTATGAAGTCAAAAAATGTCAAAAATATTGGCTCATATTTGTGCTGAATTTCTTTCTTTTACTATTATTAATTATATTTATTTATTATTTGTATTTACTGTTATTATACAATACAATAATAAATGTAAATTGCCATAATATCATCTGAATGTCATCTTCATGCACAAGAGCAGTTAAAGGTCCTATATTATGCAAAATCTTGTGAGCTTTAAGTCATGTAATGTTGTTACCTCATCAAAAACATACCTGGTGTTGTGTTTTGTTTCATTCAGACCAACCCTGAGTAACCCTTTATTATTAGTCTGTCTACATCTCCAAAGCTCAAAATGCTCTGTTCCACCTTCCGATGTAATGAAGCTGTAGTTTTCAAGTTAACAGCTGTTGTTTGTTCAGTGGAAATAGGTAATTCCAGGGCTAAAATCATCTAAATAATTCTAGTGAAGATGTGTGGAATTTTAAAACAGAAGAGAGAAGAACTAAATTTACAGGGTTTGTGTGGTAACCATGCGTGTATAAAACAAAATACAACCCCAGGTATGTTTTCGACATACAACACACAAAACAACATTATAACATAGATCAGAAAATAGCATAATACAGGCCCTTTAATGTTTTGTTAGTGTTGCTCTTTTAATGACCATTAGCAAGAAACCCACAGTAGCTCCAATTAATTATGGTTACAGCTCATTTAGCTTGAAAATGAGATACAGAAAACATAAGTGGAACTGAAAACCCCAATTTCCTTTTCAAAATTTCTCTGAGTAGAGATTATTTTTGGTAATTCTGACCACAAATCAAAAATTGAGGAACTAAATTTAACGTAAAAACAAAAAACAAAACAAACAGGTGCATCAAAAGGGGAGAAATTGAATGTCACTTTGGCTTGGTAAGTCTGTACCAGGCTAATGAGGCTTATTAGAAATCACATGCTATTCACACCTGCTTCTGACTTTATGAAATGGGTCAGTAGGTTCATCGTTCATCTTTTGGGTGACAGGTCAAAAGAAATTACAAATGAAATTAAACTAATTTAAAAAAAAAAAAGGAAAGCGAAAAACAATTATTGCACACATACACAACCCACATTTAAGGTTACACTTGCAAGATAGATGAATACTGAATAATGATTGAGTTATTAATATTGTATGCATTAGATCTAGAAAGTAAATGCATAATGAGAGCAATATAGCACTTAAAAAGCCAAAGACCTAACTATTGGTGTCCTTCCAAATTGACACATTGTCTTTGTTAATATTCATTTTTGTCAGTATTGCACACCCATAAGAAAAATACGGACAAATTTGCAAATAGTGTTGAAGATTTGCGTGACTCAAAAACTGCTAGGCCACAGCCCACTTAACATTTAACCCTGATAACATTTTTGAAGCTGAGCACAGCTATCTTTGATCATAGTATGTGTCACTGCAGACAGTAATCTGACAGGCAAAACTGGGTGCAGGACAGTGGCCAGGGACCAGGAGACTACAAATGACACTTTTAGACAGGAGCAGCTCATCCAATCTTTGAAACAATCAGGCTCTTCCAGTTCATGTCCTCCTTTAAAGTTCAAGCTAATAAGGACCAAAAAGTCTGCCTGCCTGTCACTCGTACTAACTGTGACAAAAATCTGTCAACACTTCACTATCAGCTCTGGGATCGGGTCTAGAAGTCTAGGGCCAACCACAAGTGAATTAAAAACAATGTCACACAACACTTAAGGGAATGTCTTGAATGCAAATATTAACAACAATGTAAAGCTACTTATTTGGGAAAAAAAAGACTGTTGCAGAAGCTCCTCACTGCATAAACTCTACAGAGGAATGAATTTGAACATAATTTCAGACAAGGAGGCAGATGGTTGTGGAGACTTAACATCTGTGCTATAGCTACACAAATATTAAAATATAGGTGGTGATGTGATTATTGTTTTGGGTGCTCATAAAACTCACTTAGAAACATTTAATCCTGCCAATGTCTGCACACTCAATGCTTGACAAGAATCAGGGATTTTTAAAGTGCTGACCCAATTATAAAGAGAGTAGGTTTTCATAGCTAAAAAGGTCAAACAGGACAGGAAAATAAAAGAGTAGCTATCCATTAGAACAACTGTGCATAATGCAGAGTTGCATTTGTTTGTAATTTGTTTGTGCGTTACACTATGGTAAATGTGAGTCAACCCAGAGTAATAAAGGCCACCTCACCGTGCGAACTAAACCAAACAGATCGACACAAAGAAAAACGGATTCTAATTTGTAACCCACACTTTAAAACAAATACATCTTTGAACTTTCCAAGAAAGAGAAATGAAAGATCGTGTCTCGTCTCACATAAGACAAAAGAAATATCTGCCTTATCTTTGTAAACAAGTCGTGACCTAACGGAGTTATCGGAAAGTGAAAACAAGAGCTAGATTGTCAACTACATACCCGAAGAGTGTTGCTGACCCTCTGATGCCATTGTGATACTTCTTAAAACACAATAAATAAGTAATAAATAAAGCACTGCAGTTTAAAAACAGACTTCTTCTTCTTCAGCAGCCGCGGCTGCTGATCAACAACGAACAGCCCATAGACAGCACAGAGCCACAGAGCCACAGAGCTCAGGTCTTCCCTATGGGTCATGTGACCCACACCACGTGACACAAATCGCTGTGCCTTCAGCAAAATCCAGTCATCTGACTTCACTTCACCAAAATCCTCTGAGTCTTCTTCCTGTGTGCAACCACACATGACACATCTGAAAATTGTGTGTTATATATTTAATAATAATTTATTGTTTTGTGTTTTTCAGTCTAGTGACTATAATAAATAGCTAAAATTATTTCTTTGAGTAATGAAAAACATGAATGTCTAAATAATGACATTCATTACAGTTATCAGAATGTGAATACAAAGAATGAAATAAATAAAACAAGAAGCACATTTACTGGACAAACTTTAAATCACCAATGGCAAATTGCTGACAACACCAGATTTCCATTGTTGCAATGTTGCCATTGCGGAAACTGTAACTGCTTCAGAAACAGATTAAGAAATCTTTTCATACATATATAACATATTTAACAGTGACATACAGATCATCCCTTTAAAATGAATTGTAAGTAAATCATGTATTCTGTAAACTTTGTAAACTAAAAATCAAATGATGGTCCCATGAAACATACCTCAGAGTTTTTGAACTCTTGTTCATCTCTTTTTGAGGTAAACGTGTTTGGACACTGTTGTGTAATTTACCTCAACAGACAAGAAAAAAACAAACAAAACCTAAATTCATCTGAGGAATGATCTATTGAGACACAAGAATTTAGACTTTTCTGAGAGATTTGCACAAGTTTTTAGTTGGTGCATTTTGACTTGTCTCTATTTGCCCTCCAGACTTTTGTCTCTGGTGATGACAGCCTCGTCAAACTTGATCATGAGTGTGGTGCCCTTGTGCCAGTGGACAGTGACTTTAGCAGGGAAGCCACTATTGGTGAGAATGGCCTCAATGATCCCTCCAGTAAAGGCTGCACAGTTCAAGGTGCTATTGTCTTTGGGAACAGAGATATAAGTGTTTACTAGAGCCTCCTTCTCAATTATGTAGTAAGTCTTGTCATCATCATTGGCCTGCTCCAGTTTGTCTGCTTCTTTTCCAAATAAGGATCTCCAGACGTTTACCTGTAAATACATGGGAGTTCTTATTTAATCATAATAGTAGAAACTGTAGCTTAACTACATAGTAATAAAATATTAATAAAATAACAAAAAAGGCAATTTGGTAGAAAAGCACAATGTAAACTTACAATATTAACATATAAACATATTTATATGTAAAGAATATAGAATATAGAGAGATATAGCAGAGACCCTAACTCATCTTAGGCATATATATACCTTTAATTTGTATATGAATATATCAGTCAATCAAACTTTATTTATAAAGTGCTTTTCATACAAAAATGGTAACACAGCTACCAGGCCCCAACAACCAAACAACCCAGACAGATACACACACGCACACACACATGCACACACACATACTAACATGCTAAAATACATAAAACTACACATATTAAAATGTGATGCTGAGTACAGGTGAACCAGTTGAGAAAGCACCAGGAGCCGTCTACACCAGGAGCAGAGAGCCGTCCGCCGCCACCAGGGACTGCCACAGAGCCCAGGGGAGAGATGAGGCCCAGGCACCAACCCCCCACCAGGAGCCCACAGGACAGACCCTGGCAGCCGCAGCAGACCACAGCTCTCAGTGCAGAGGGCTCCTACAGGGGAAACACTTGAAAATACATCTAGCTATAGTTTAAGTACAATACAAGCTGAGTGCCATACACAGTGTTTAAATGTGTGGACTCTGTGTGTCTGTACCTTGATAAAAAGCAGTATATTTAATACTTTAGTCTCCCTCTTGCCATTCTTCTCCCTCAGCACCAGCACGTCCAGCAGACTGGCCCCCACTCGCTGTCCCATCTCGGACAACTTGGCCTGGAGCTCGGTCACGGAGTACACGCGGCTCTGACAGTACTGCACCACCTCCGAGAAGAGTAACCCGAAGGCGGACACGCTCACCTCGGTTTTGGGTCGAGAGAGAGGTCGCTCCAGTATGGCTGATTTACCTTTCGTAAAGCGAGTCTCCATCTTTTACTAATGACAAACAAAACAAAAGACAATCATACAACTGCTTTGATGTTTAAGAGCAACAAATAGATTTCACCGTGGATTACACTACAATTTGTTTTGTTGTGGTTTCGCCTATTTCCGGGTATTAAATGTAACGTCACTCAGTCACATGACATAAGGTCACATGACCGATGAGCCGGATTATTATTATTTTTTTTAAATTACGAATAAAAAATGTTAAAGAGATGCAAAAATAATTGCCTTTGATTATTACAATAGATACATTTTTAATGTAAATTACAGCAGGCCAGAAATTATTTTGTGTTCATTTAGGCCAAGGCATTTTTAATACATTTACTAGTATATACATTTTTGCTATGAAACTGTGTGCCAGGAAACTGCAGTTAGTCTTTTGAGCACTGACCATATATAGTCTATGGCATTGACTGACAAATGGGAATAGTTTGTTTTCCTAACAGAACTGACCTATGTGACCTGAATCAATATTTGTGTACAAAAAGTAGGGATCTCTCACGTAGTCTACTAATCTAACTAACCTGCTTTCGTTTGAAATCCCAGGCCACTTTAACATAAAATCTGTGAAGTAGAAGTCTCATCAAGAACATTTATTTTTATCAACACTATGACTTCACTGGGACTGTTGTTTTTTAGTCTGACTTTTTTGGGCCATTTTACTGTCCACACCAGACCAGCAGGTAAGTGTCAGCAAATAACATCTTCAGTAGCCAAGGAAGTTTTAACATTAAGTATGATTTAATCTAATAAGGGCTTACCTAAAAATGTCTCCTGCTTCTACTTTCTTTCATTGCATATATTTCAAAAATTGTCTAGAGACAGTACAGGCCTCTAGTGTCTAGGCTCTGTGTTCTTTTAGTAAGTGCAGTTTTCTGAAATATCTCAAAATTTAACATATTTTATCCCTTAAACAATCCAGAGTCTGAAAAGTCCCTTTAATTTTTTGGACTGATATTAGCCTGTCATGATAACAAATATCAAAATGCAATATATGGCTGAAGTAATTGACAATAAACGATAATACTGAAACAAATTTATGCTACTGACACATTAACACAAGAGCAGATTTAAACCATAAGAACAATTCTAAATCAAAAAAATTATTATCAAAAAATCCTGAGCTGCAGTAAATAAATAGCAGAATGAAACACTGTAGTACTTCTCTATTATGAGTCATAGAAGTGAGTAATTCAACCTTTTACAGCTTACATTTTAATAACCCAAATAACCAAAAATTTCCCAGTAGTACAAATGTAGCACATGTGCTAAATACTAACCTAAAAAAATATATAGTTCCAGCATTCATATAAGTCTCTATATAGTAATTATCGAGACAGGCCTTCCTGATATTAGATGTAAATCCTACACACCTGACCAGAGCATCTGCACATAGTTGACTTATCTATAATTTACCTTCTTGTTTCAGTTGGCCACTTGCGTAACATGGACAGTTTAATTCGGGCTGTGCAGCAGGTTGAAGAATCGAACCCCAACCTGTCCCCCCTGGCTTTGGTGCGAGCTCTGCGCAGAATAGCTGGTCATGATGATGCTATGACTGTTCACTTCTTGGGCACTTCCCATGTTTTCACTGCTACTGCTGGTCTAGAGACTGCCATCCTCAATAGCTCATCCTTTAGCTTTTTTGACAAGGCCCTCCACCACATAGTCACTGACAATGGCGAAGAAAGGGGTGTAGTACTGGCTCCCGATGGTACCACTGTGGCCCTAGCACCTTTGATGCTTGGGATAGAAGCAGGACTAAATGCCTGGACTGAAGGGGCTGCTCCTGTAGGGCTATTTCCTCTCACACTTGGAAGAACATTGGGTTTGACTTTCCTCAGCCTCCAAGATTTTCCTGTGGTGTACCGTTTAGGGCCAAACGGATGCTGGGATAATGCAGAGTACCCAAAAGTCTTCAAACTCTACCACACACCTACTTTAGCTACAGAAGCTGTCATAAGTGGAGGCATGGACGGGCTTATACTTGGGAAACATCTAAGCAACCTGCCTAAATCTGAAACTTTGCCAACCCTGAGTGAGATTTTGAAAGGATACTACATTTTTGACCTACGCGAGGGGCAGGGTCTGGATGGTTTGACTGATAAAATAAGCCCAAAAAGAAGACAGTTATCGCGGCTGATCTTGGAGCCTGTAGATCTTCAAAATGAAGTGATGGAGACTCTGGCGTTGGTATGGCAACTGGAGAGGACTGAGTGGATAGCCTTTGACACTGGGATTCGCCAAGCAGTCAGTGAGGGACTACAAGAGTTCGTGCGCAAGTACTGGGGTAAGAAACCTGTTTCAATGCAATGTAATTTTGCTACACATGAAGAAAACAATCTTAATACAACTAACAATCAACTTAACTTTGCAAGTATTAATACTTTGTAGCTGATGTTGTCAACATTCTCGGGGGTGTGAAACTGAAAACATTACTCTGTTAGAAGCTCTGCTACTCAAGTTAGACTTTATTCTGAGCTCTATTTTAACTCAGTGTGAGTAGAAAGAAGTGACTTGGTTGGAATTACAGCAGGTGAAATTTGTGCTCTTTAACAAGTCTCTGTTACATAAAACCAGCATTAGCATCAGGATTCCCACAGTCATGGAAATCCTGGAAAAACCCTTGAAATGGAAATTGAAACTATCATTTTCCAGACCTGGAAAAGTCATGGAATTTTGTAAATTCAATGAAAGTTTTGGTTGAAAGTAAGTGAATTTTAGTTTCTCTTTCATGCAACTACAGCGTTCTGTTAAGTTATGATTAGACTATTATGATTATTTCCTAATGTGTGCACCTTTTGTTTCAAAGAGAAGACAATAAATGCACTGACAGTATTTTGAATGTTAAAAAACTATAATACCAAATCATAAGGTGAGAGGAAAGGGTTAACATTTCATATTTAGCTCTAAAATATAATCAATTCTACACATGCAAGGTGCCATAAGGTCATGGAAAATTCACTTTAGGTCATGAAAAAGTCATGGAAAATTTTTGTCAGTGACAAAGAGTGGGAACCCTGCAACAGTCAAAGTCCTACAGGACCATGAACGCTGGTATTGATCACAGGCTCCTGAAAGTGTGTTGTTTAAACCCATTTTGTAAGATCTTAAAACTTTCTTTTTTGTTTGCTAATGTGTTCATTGTGTCACCATACTGGGCCAATAAAGATACATGTAGAACACCCCCATCGTGATGTGACTGCAAAGTATTAATAAGACACAATGCAAAAAACTAAACATTTTGTTTTTCTTGGTATTTTTATTTTTGTCTTCAAAGGACATTAAAGCCATCTGCTGCTTCTGAGAGTTCCTCACTGTGGTTATAAATCACTGAGAACATGACTATAGCCAATCAGTCAAAGGAGTGGGTGGGAAGTTTATTTGTTCAAGCACAGTATTTCTATATTACCATGTCTGTTGTTCTTTTTCTGTTTAGACTGCCCCCAGGTTATTCCCCGGTGCCAATGGGGAGCAAAGCCACGTGTTGGGACCCCGATCCCCCTGTCCCTGCCTCTGAATAATCTGTTTGTCCATCACACCTCCACTCCCTCCTCTCCCTGTCTGACCTTCCCTGAGTGCGCCCGGGACATGAGGTCCATGCAGCGCTTCCATCAGGAGGACCGCGGCTGGAGTGATATAGGATACAGGTATATCGCTTAAGCAAATTCTGGAAAAAGAACATGTGAAATATTTCAGACTGTATTTTAAGATATATTGTGTCAAAATACTATACCAGTCTACCTCAACATTTTACCTGTTTTCTAATGTACAATATATATACTGTATCACATATTTAAAAATAAACCTTATTAGAATGTAATTTTGACTGCTGCAACATTTATTACCTTGTTAAAGTTATTAACATTAAAATGTGTTACGTCATAAATCCCCTTGTTAGTTTTGTGGGGGATGGCTATGACCACAATGGACAATTATTATAAATGAGAACTTAAAAATGCGACAATGTCCTAGAAGTACCTATTAATGGAGTCAATCATAAATGAATCATTATTGACCAGGTAAACTGGTATTGACCAGGAAACCAGGTATAATAATACAGAACTATTATATTTCTTGAATTTCATCTGCTCTGAAAGTAACAGACATAAAAAAAATTTAAAAAATCTTGTGTTTTGTTAGTATCTGCAGGTTGTAAAAGCAATTTACTGTACTTCCTGTTAGCAAACTTATTTATGCATATTTGTGTTTTTAGTACTGTAGCACAGCATCTATCATTTGATAATATATGTTTAATTTTGCTCTCTGCAGTTTTGTGATGGGTTCAGATGGATATGTGTACGAAGGCGCTGGCTGGAATATAGTGGGGACGCACACCAGAGGTCAGAACAGTGTTGGGTACGGAGTGTCTTTCATTGGGAACTACTCTGCGGTCCTGCCCTCACGCTACTCCATAGATCTGCTGCGTCACCGGCTGGTGAAGTGTGCCGTGGATGGAGGTCGACTGGTCTCCAACTTCTCTCTCAAAGGCCACAGACAAATGGTCAACTACACAGCCTGTCCTGGAGACGCACTCTTCTCTGAAATAAGAGGATGGGACAACTTTAGGGAGTGACAGCTGGCAGAAGTCTTTTACAGAAACTAATCAAAATGTGTACTCTAAAGTGATATTACTAAATATTGAGGATGTAAAGATAAAGTGTTTGAATCAATTTGTAAAATCAGAAAATGTAGTTATTTTTTAACTTGTGATTAATAGCAATAGAAAAGAAAAAAAAAGCAGAAAGACCAAACCTAAAGAGCTTCACTTCTACAGACAAATAAAAAGACAATCCTGACATTAACTTAAAACAAAACAAAACAAAAACTAAATTTGTTTATTTGATACACACATAGCAGTTATTGGACAAACCATATGTTAAGGTGGGGGACGAGGGACCCAAAAGCAGAATCAGAACACAGTCAAGTTTAAGCAGTTTATTGTACAAACGAAGGCAGGCTGAGGAGGCAGGGAGCTGGCCAACTTCTCCGGAGGCAACGGCAGACGACCAGGAGACACCTGGGAGAAAACAGGAGTAGGTAAATCCAGGGCAAACAATAAGCAAGACAGGAATAAATCCAAGAGCCTGGTCACGCTACAGAACAGGACGGAATTATCTGGCAAAGTGGTGATGAGAAGACCAGGGCTAAATACTGAGGTAGATGAAGGGATTGATTGCAGGTGTGTCTCGTCTGCTCCGGAAAAAGCCAGCCACGCCCCCTGCCACACTCAGGCTCTGAAACAGAAAAGGGAGGGGGAGAGAACAAAAACACAAATCCTAACACCATATGCACTGTCTCAAGTGTTAGAACAAAACAAAACCAAAAGCAAAAGTGGAGAAAAGAAAAAAACATCACGTCCATACAAGTCTCTGAAGGCAGTTCAGATTACATTGAACAAAACAAAACCAAAAGCAAAAGTGGAGAAAAGAAAAAAACATCACGTCCATACAAGTCTCTGAAGGCAGTTCAGATTACATTATATATTTTTTTTATTTGCAAGAAAAACTAATCCACAATATTAACTTTGTATACAGTATAGCATAGTCATATAGCATATAGTTAGTTGAAGATCTTTAGGTCAATCTAAGTTTTTAGGTCAATGGTTTTTGGGTTAGTGGTTTTTATGCTCTAAATCTGAATTTTGGACCTCTACAGAGTCCCCACTGACAGAGACCCTCACATCTTACTGACTGTGTTGTGGTAATATTAGTAAGTTGTGCAGTTGTGAGAGAAGGAAATAAAAGGCATTGAGTCTAACAACAGTTTTTGAGGAGTTTATTCTCTTATGGGATAGTCATATATATTATACATTTATACATTTCCAACAGTAAATTGCAGATTATGCATACCAAACATCATTAGCCGTGCATTCTTTCCAAGCATTAATTCCAACAACAAAAACAACAGACAATACAAACATAAAAGGGAAATAACTACGCTAAGGTAATTTGCCCATTTTATTTTTATGTGTACAGGTTGAAAATTTGAGCCAGATCATTATTAGAGTAATCACTAGTTAACAGTCAGTCAAACAGCTGCAGTGTGCTAAAACTTACAAAATGTTCAAATGTATGAATTCAAAGTCATACTGAAACCAAAATTAAACAGAAAGTGATAGGCATGGTTTAGACGCATGTACAAAAACAAAAACAACACTTATCTGGGGCTCATGAGTCATAGTCAGCTGACAGGAAACAGACTGAAAGTGAAAGTAAACTGCTGCTACCTTTAGCTGCCTATAAAAGTGGGTCTGTTCTCGGAGCTTTGTGGAGCACACACTGGACTGGGGAGACACGTCAGAACTGAAAGATGGGTGAGACTCATTTTATATACAGAGCTGTACATTGTGAAATCCCCTGTTCTTCGTTTTTTAAACACAGTTAATGTGTCTATTTTACACAGACATCAGTATCATTAGAGATGCTACTGGCGCATCACAACAGACAGCCAACCAAGACAGACTAGGATATGCAGGTATGTTTAACTATATATCATTAAATTCCCTGTGCCTTAAGGAAAGCTACACTGTCTGTTTTATGCTATAGGAGTGCCGGCATCTCAACAAATGGCAAAGACTGACTTGGAAAGAATGAAGAAATACAAGAACATGATTATGACTGTAGGGCGAGACAAGAAGATTGACCCAGCTCTCATCGCAGGGATCATCTCCCGAGAATCACGAGCTGGAAATGTTTTACAAAATGGCTGGGGGGACCATGGTCGTGCCTGGGGGCTGATGCAGGTGAATTAAATATTGTATTTTTTCTTCCCAGAGTTCTGAATCTGAATAGCTTCAATAGTTTTGACAAATTTGATTTGGACTACTAGCCTTAAAACAACTTCTTAGAACCACAAACACACAATTTTACAGTGTATTCATGGGTTTCAGCTTCCTGTTATAGGCAAGATTTTGAGTACTTTTCACCATTAAAAAAACTGGATATGTGTTTTTAAACTGTTAATATTGTCCTAACGTTTCATTATTCTGAAACCCATGGATAAAACCCAAGCTTGTGTGAAATATTCCTGTTTCTTCAGGTTGATGTGACTCCAGATGGAGGAAGACAAGAAGTGAGGGGTGACTGGAACAGTGAGGAGCACCTGCGTCACGGCACAGAGAGACTGCTTTATTTTATTGGTCGGATTCGTAACAAATTTGGAAGCTGGACGGAAGCGCAGCAGCTGAAAGGTATGTTGAAGTCAAAAAGTACAAAACATAAAGATTCCATTACAATTCAATGAAATTCATGTGTGTACAGGAGCAATTGCTGCTTACAACATGGGGGACGGAAATGTCCATAGCTATGAGAGTGTGGACGCAAGAACAACAGGCAAAGACTACTCCAATGATGTTGTGGCCAGGGCTCAGTGGTACAAAGTCAATCTTTTTGGTTAAGTTAATGGTCAATCTGGTTCAACATTATAGCCAAAAGTAAAGCAATATTTAGAATAGTATACATCTGAAGTTATGAATTTGTTTTATACTGTTCATTATATTAAAACATAAAATTAAAGAAATAACAATAGCTGTGTGTGTGTGTGTGTTGTATTGTCTAGTCATGAGGACATTATCGTGGCTGGGTTAGTAGGTGGTTGGGGTGTAGAATCATTCATGTTTGGCTGCAGTAACAGTCCTGGTGGCGCCTCAGGTCCAATTTGCTGGTGAAGCCGTGGAGACAGAGAGGGCAGTGGAAGGTCCGGGCCTCGTTGTGCTTTCGACAGTGGGTGATGAGATTGGAGCTCTGACTGAAGCTCTTCCCACAGATCTGACACATGTGGGGCTTCTCTCCTGCACACAAACAACACAGCAGTACAGTGACAGGGTTTCAAGTACTCTAAATCTGTAAATGAAACCAAAACATGTTACGGCTGCTGCCTTTGCATGAAAACAAGCTTAAGGTTATACTCACAAACCAAAAAACTATTTATGAAGCACATACTACATGGACATTTTCTCTTGTTACTGCAAATATTAACAACTAATGCTTTTACACTGACTTGATTTACTTAAACTACCTTTATTATGTCATCTTTTTCCATCTAATTTTGTTTCTTTTGTTGATCTAAAGCAATTTTTTGTATGTTAGATTTATCCACTTGAAAAGCATACTTTTAAGGTTCTTTATGTAACTTTTTTGCTGTAGAATCCGCCATCTGTTTGTGCATGGTGATGTGAATGATTCACAGTATTACATTAAATTCTTCCGCATGAGACAAGCAGCTGACTGCACCATACCCAGTTACAGGTCAGATTTGTGAAAAACCAGTCCTGCTCACAGTAAGCACATATGCATATTTTTGGGAACTAAAAATACTATTAAAAAAAAAGAAGCAAAATATATTACAGTAATGGTCATACTTTGGAACATTCCAGGGAAAAAGAGCAAAATAGAGAGAAAAAGTCAGACAAAAAAATCAGAATAGTTATATAGTGCACTTGTAATTAACACTGAAAATGTAAAGGTCCTGTATTACACAATATAGATTTTTTTTTGTGAGCTTTAAAACAGATTAAAATATTGTTTCTTCATCACAAACATACCTGAAGATGGGCTTTGTTTCATTTGCACATGTTTGAGTTAAGTTTTATTATTAATCTGTCTTAGTATTAGTATCTTCAAAACTCAAAATGCTTTGTTCCACCTTGTGATGTCATGTAGTGGTATTTCTCAAATTCAACAGCTCCTTTTACCTTTTGTTCAGAACAGCTTGACAATTCAAGCGCTAAAACTATCCAAATGATTCTGATGAAGTTGTGTGGAGTTTAAAAACACAGTGGAGCACTTTCTGTATTACTACATGAACACAGAATTTTCGGTTTGACAGAAGAACCTAAATACACAAAGTTTGTGTGTTAAACATGTGTGAGTGAAACAAAACACAACTCCAGGTGTTTGCGATGCGGAAACAACATTACAGCATAGATCAGAAAATAACATAAAATAGGTGAAAAGATAGTTTTTTTTTAGTCTACAGTATTTTAGTGTGTTGTCCTACAAACACCACTATTGCTTTGCTTTTACTTGAATCATGTAATTTAGAGTTTGCGACACTTCAACTTGAGTACAATGCTATACTGTTCTGTTTTAGACTTAGACAAACTTTATTGATCCACAAGGGAAATAATTTGGACACAGTAACTGACACATCACAATATGTTACAATAGCAAAGAGCTACAGTATTTCTTTTCCTTCTGAATGATAACAATAAATGAAATGACAAAGCGTATCTCACCTGTGTGTATGAAAGTGTGCTTCTTCATGTCGGATTTCTGGTGGAACCTTTTACCACAATACTGACAGGCAAATGGGCGTGTGTCGGAGTGAATGAGCAGGTGGGTGGACAGGGTCGAGGAACGCTTAAAGGACTTCCCACACACACTACAAGGAAATGCACGGTCCTGGAGCAACAACAAAATACAAATACTAGAATGTCCTGTGAATATGAAACTGCATAGGTACTACTGACCTTTTTTCTAGACAGAGATCGCTCACTCTCCGATCGACTGGAGTTAATTTCAGTTAGTGTTCTGTTCTGGTGAGACTTGCACATGTGAACGCTCAAACCGGAGTTACAAGAAAATGCCTGAAAAAAGTAAAAAAATTTAAATCAAGTGCATAAATTAATATGTGGAAATTGTCATATCTCATATCTGCTGTCATATAGGCAGCAGAGAATCTTAAGTATTAATATTATGCACTGTGTTTGTACTTTGAACTTATATTTATGAACTTATAGGTATAACAACAATATTCCTATTTACCTATTACTTGTTATGTTGTTGTCCTAAAAAATTTAATTAGGTATTAATTATAATGTTTAGATGTATTAGGCCATTGTTTCTCAAAGACGAGAGATTTTTTTTGGGTCGCCTTGTCACGATCTGCATGTAGATCTGCAATATACATATACATACATCTCCACGCACCCCTCTCCATTCCTTACTTTTTCGGCAGCCTAACCAATTTTCTGTGGGAAACACTGATTACTGTTTGTCATTGTTTAAAACTTGAGTAAGACTAATTGTTCATAGAGACAAGATTACTCAGTCAGCAATAAAATATCTTCATTAATGTTCAATAATGGTCACAAATTTATTTTGTAATTTACGAAAAATGTGTTTTTACTTGGGTTGCGAAGATTTGTGACTTTTAAAATATGGGTCCCCAGAAAAAAAGTTTGGGAAACACTGTATTATTACATTAGTATATGAATATGTTTACAGTTCAACAGATATACTGTTTAAGGGTCATATATTATGCAAAATTGAATCTTGTGAGCTTTAAACCATGTTATAATGTGAATACTTGGAGTTGTGTTTTGTTTCATTTACATTGCATTACATTTATTATTAGTCTCCACATTTCCAAAGCCCAAAATGCTCTTTACCACCTTGTGATGTCATGTAGCGATAGTTTTCAATCTACAGCTGAAATTATACAACTCATGCTTTTAAAACACAGTGGAGCACTTCCTGTATTATCACATCACAAGGTGGAACAGAGTGTTTTCTGTCTGACAGAAGAACGCAGTCTAAAGACTCAGGGTTTGTGTGTTAAAATGTGTGAATGAAACAAAACACAACACCAATGTACTACATATACTATACTATAACTCTTCTTTATATTCAAGGAAAATACTTACTTTATCACAGATGGGACACTGAAGTCTTGTGTTCTTAAGGTAACTTTGACTCCTCATCTCCTCCAGTCCACCCTGCAGTCTCTCTGTAATAAAAAATCAAGATGAGCTAGTTCACATTGCTTCTTATTTCATTGTAAATCATTAGGGATGGGCAAAAATAAAAAATGATTTAATCGCGATTAATCGCATGAGTTCGAGCGATTAATCGCGATTAATCGCGAACCCGCGGCCGGGCCCGCGGCTCGCGGAGGCTCGGGCACTTTGCATCTCACGTGGTCAGAAAAAAGTGAAAAAAGTGTCAAGAAAAGACGTCAGACTTAAAGAAACGCTAGCGGTGGACTTTTTCAAAATAAAAGCCAGTGAGAAACAGACGTTTACAATAAAATAAATAAATAAATAATAAAAACTACGTTAACAGCGTTAAAATAATTGTCGGCGTAAATGACTTTAACGCAAAGTTAACGCGTTAACGTGCCCGGCCCTATAAATCATATATTACCTTCACATGTGGGCAGAATCACCGGTAACTTCGCAGTTTTGTAAGTTTTGTCAGATGGAATAAAATGCTGTATTGATGTGAGGAGCTTTGTGTTGTTGTCTGCGGTGTCTTTGCTGTCTGTAGGTGGGTCCCAGCCTCCTCTCTGGTTCTTTGGCTTCAGTCCTGCTCTGGCCGTGGGACTGATCGGACGGAGACCTCCTCTCTTCACCAAGAATGAACGTGGCATTGTACTAAACAAGCCACAAACACAGCTGAGGTGAAATATCCAGTATGTTTATAGACCAAAGACCTGTTTCCCATGTGCATTTTAAATACAGCTCTATTATGTGTTCTCCCAACAGAGGGCAATAGTCTCCTGATCAGATCAACTATTCATCCAGGCATTGTATTGTAGTTTTGAATTTCTTTTTGATAGAAATTTGTAAATGCATTTTAAACTGTACTCTTGGATTTCAGCTTCCTGTTATTTACAACATTTTGAGGGTATTTTCCCATTAAAAAGTGTAGTTTTTCAAAATTTTCAAATTAATTTTTAATTATTGTTATAATTTTTTTTATTGTTAATGACTATGGCAACGGTCCTAATTCTTCTTTATTCTAAAACCATGACAATTCATCCATCAAATGTAATATTTAAGTGAATTATAACCTATATTTATACATGTGTCATATGATTTAAATATTTCTCCTTATACTATGAGAATCATTCTTCGTGTAAACTAAACAAAATGTGTTTGTGTGATATTTAAGTAAAGAAAAAATCAATTCTCTCAACATGGGCCAGTTAACAGAACAGACTTTTTTGGAGGGATTACACAGACGTCTGTGATATTGTTGTATGTTACAGGCAAAGTGAGTAATGAGTAATTTTATAGAATGAACAATATAAAGAAGAGAATAATGATTCAATTCCTACTTTGCGTGATTATAGTAGAGAATCTCATGTCATAGAATGCAAATGAGATGCAAATATATATGAACCCAACAAGTTTAATCTAATGCTTTGCCTTATTGTATCTTTTTTTTTTTTTTAAATCATTTTATTTGAGTGTTTTGAATATCGGCTTGCCTTGTTCTCCAGAAATCTCTGTTGTTAGTTTTTCCTATTGTTTAGCTACATTGTACTTTGCCATGAAATATCCAAAATCACAAATGCAGAATTTGATCATCTACATTTTAAATCTTTTTTTTTTTCTAGCCTAATTGTAGTCTTGAGGGTGAATATATACACTAAATACTGTAAATACATTGAAAGTAGCCTGTAGTGGACAATTCAGTTAGAATTCAATTAATTCATCAGATTTACCATATTCTTGCTGCTAGAGATGTAAAGATTAAAAATTAAAGTGAAGAAGATCAAAGTTCAAAATTTTTGTTTTTGTTTTGTTTTTTCAAAATCAAGTAATTTCAATTCAGTCTATCCAAAAAGTACAATTTATGTAAAATAATATTTTTTTAATCTCACTGTTTATGTCACCTCAGATGTGTTTATATCCTTCAGAAAGTTTGATTTCATAAACCAGGGCACATACTTCCTAAGCAAAGTAAAAACAAACAAACAAACAAATATTTTCTACTTTGCCTAAAAACTATCTACTCTATAGAATTATCATCTTTGCCTATAGCATATATACTTTTAAAATTGATGCTGCAGTCTTTTTTCTTTTGTTCTTTTTTTATTTTTTTATTTTTTATCATTGGCCTCATTAGTACTACAGTTTAACACATTTGACTAAGTGTTAGACAAGACATGGTGTTAAAGACAAAGTGAAAGCAGTACATTATGAGTCAATACTCACACATAAAATAAAGTAACAGGTCACACATTTACCTTTACAGATAACAATCCTTAGAGGTCCACTATGTAACTTTTTGTTTGGGGGTGCGTCACCTGCTTGTTTCTATGTATATGTCACTGCTCTGCCTGAAATGTTTCACAGTTCGACATTAAACAGCTCTTCTTTATATTTATTAAATTACAGGTGGTTTTATAACTAAAAAAATACTTAGGGTTTCCTCTCCACAGATCTGATCTGTAACTTGATCATGTTTGGTCTCCATGAAGAAAGAAAGGTTTAATGCCATACTGTGAAACATTTCAAACAAAGCAATAACATCTCCATGGAGAAAAACACCAGAAAAGTTACACAGTGCACCTTTAAATAGCACAGTTTAAATGTGTAATCAAACATAAACATGGATAATGAGCCAGATGTGGTACAGAAATTGCCTTCTCACCTGCAGCGTATTTCCCTCGTGATAAGCGGCGGCTGTGTGTCTCTCATGAGCTGCTCAGACACTGTGCGAAAAGATAAAACGGGGAAGTGTCACAGATCAACAGAGAGACCACGCGGTTTCCTCATTCAAACCCACTGATACTGTGTGTACATAGATCTTTATGAGAAACATCAGATTTAAAGCAGGCGAGACGGGGGAACGGGCTTAAAACAGCTAAAAAATTTTGTGTCGACACCAGTCTTGGCACATTACAGTTACACCGCTAAATGACCAACTTAAAAAGAAGTAAAACTAATGCAACAGTTGATTCTTCTGAAATTACCAAAGCGCTAATAACTGTGAAATGGAAATGACACATGTGTGAACCTGTTAAACTGGCAGCAATAGTGAAGTCTAACCTTTAACATTTTGTGAACTGAAGAAGGCAAAATAAATAAGATATTACCAAACAAATGAATCAATTTGCCTAAAAATGTAATAGAAAATACATTTTATCTTCAGAAAAAAGTCACACTAGGCATTCACAAAACAATATTTCATTATTTTTGACTATTTTAATTTGATAAAGAAATTAAATATTTTATTAAAGGTGCATTGTGCAACTTTTCTGGTGGAGGACCTGACAATTTCTTTTCAAATGGCAAATGTTATTGCCTGGAATGTTTCATAGTATGGCATTAAACCTTTCTATCTTCATGGAGACCAAACCGGACAAAGTTATAGGTCAGATCTGTGGCGAGGCAACCCCACACACTGTCAGAATGCCATTTTTTGTAGGTATTTTTGAGCTATAAAACCACCTGTAATTGAATAAACGTAAGGTAAAACTGTTTAATGTCATACTGTGGAACATTCCAGGCAGAGGGAAGACAAATCCATAGAAACAACAGGTGAAAGACCCCCAACCAAAACGTTAAACAGTAACATAGGAACTGAAATGGCAAGTAGCACAAATCACAGACAATCAGGTGTTTGCAAAGGTGCAATGCAAAGTTTATTTTGTATCATTCATAGGATACAGAACACTGACATGTACTTCCCCTATCGTACTGGAATTAATATAATCTTTCATGTAATTTAATATAATGACTTTGACAACATTAGCTCAAGATAAAACAATGATCTGGTTATTTAGTCTGATGATGAGGAACTGTGTGCCTCTGCCGTCAAACCCTCACCAAACACTGTAAAAATCTAGTTCTATGGCACATCATGTAGTAGCGTTGGTAAAATCATAGACCCAGTATTGTATTTAAATGGATGTACACGCAGATCCTCTAGACAGGGGAGGGAGTAGAGCACCATAACTGAACAACAGTGTCAAATTCGAAAAAAAAACAAACAAACAAACAAACAAAAAAACAAAAGAACTAATTAGTTGATTTTGATTCATAAGATCTGCATGTACCTGAAAATGCTTTGAATACAATAACAATGCATTGATGTGTGTAAATGAAGCTAGAAAGCCTTCGTGCGAGCTGAGATTTGAGTGTTATGATTTCATGAAAGGTTATTTGCAACAGAACGTTACATCCTGTTGAGCTCACTCATTACAGGAAAAGACAAATCCAGTTCCCCTCTTTCTTCTTCTCTTTCAGACAAACTTTAGGATATGAATAAGTGACATGGTTTTAGAGACTCATAGTATTCTCTGTAGTATCAGTTTTTGTCACCTGTCGCCGTATTGGTTCTAGTTGTTAATGTAAATGTCTAGGGCTAATGTAAACTCCAAAGGAAACACGCAGCCAGGCCTGTCACAATAACAAAGTTTGATGCACAATATATTGTACTGTACTGGTACAGATATATACTGTGATAAATTATCATTTTGAAACTACTTTATTCCACTGACACAAAGCAGGATAATCCCAGTAAACCATTTTTAAATAGAAAGTATCATTAAAAGGCCTGAGCTGCAACATATAATGTACTATTATTGGTCAATAAGAATAGAAGTAGTCACTTACTCAAAGTTTTACAGCTCAAATGTAAATTTGTTACAACAAAAATACCACAAATGTCCCAACTATTATAAAGAAATTGCACAAACGATAATGCTGAACCCCATAATATATAGTTCCAGCTTCAATGTATTGAACAATAAGTTGATATAGTATTTATCGTGACAGGCCCACATGCATTAACTGCCCAAATATCTGTATTAACCCTGTTTTTTGGAAAATTTCAGATTTCCGGTTTTTCATTAATAACCCTCTCTTCCCATTACAGTTTCAAAGAACCAATATGGCGCAGACTGATATCCAAGTGTAATCTGCAAAGTCCGCCCTGATGCTAAATGACAAAAGTCGATTCTCTGTAGTGCAAAGCGCAGTACTGGCCACTCAGTAGAACAACACCCTGTTAGTTGAATAACACCATCATCAGTAACAGTGTCTTAGAAATATATTACTACATCACATCCCAGTCACAACAGAAGCCATATATCTGTTAAACGTTTTGTCATGATAATATAGTATTGTATGATATGTGAATACTTTCAGACATATTTCATGGAAACTTCCTTGATTTCTCTGGTAACTTAATATACCTTTATGATAAATTGACTTTAACTTCCACGGGGCAACCTGCACAATTTAACAATTTTAATTAATTAATCAATACTTATATTATACGAGTGTTCTCTAGTGTTTTGGGTTTACAATAAACAAACTTACATTTTGCAAATAAACAAAATTTGAAAAAACATTTTAAAACGTTTTTCTATATCTTTAACTTAGACACGTTTAATGCTTTCAATACGATTTTTTTCAGTAGTTTAAGACTTAAAATTTACCTGTAAACAAGTTTTGTTGATGTATGCATTTTGACATGTAATATACAGTAGTAACACCATAGCAGCATGTCTCCTATCTCTTATCCACTGGCCCAGTAAACAGGGCTCGAGTTGGCACAAACAATGATGGGTCAAAATGTAAAAATCAAATGAAAATCTGTACACTTCTGTAATCCTGTACAAATTAATATTAAACATATCAAAATTAATTACAACATATAAGTGAAACAATAAAAACTAATTTGGCAACAATTTGCTTCTTCTTTTAGTCCATGTTGATTAAAATGTGGTTTCTCACAACACATCTCAGTTTCGATCACTGTTCAAATTGAAATCATCATTACTGGACATCTTGATGATCTTGATGAATAGTTTTTCTTTTGGTTGTTGTGGAAATGGAGATTTTTTTGTTTTGTTTCTTTTTTCTGAAGGCAGTGATGAAGAGTGTGAATGAAAAGGTTCAAAAATAGTCAAATGAGTTAAGGTTTGCCATACATAGTTCTTTTTATCAGTTTTTTTCGTCCTTGTTGATATTAACCTCCTCATCACAGATTCAGGTCTGGAGCTTGATGAAATGCAATGATCAGCAGCTAAAGTCGGATATGTTTTCTTCTAAAGAGCATTTTTGGATGGTGGGTGGCAAGGACAGAAACACAGGGGTGGCTTGTGGCTCTTGTAGTCCACACAATACCACAAAATAGAAAGTCATCACAGAATCCAACAGCTGCAATAACAGTCTGTTGTATTAAAGGTCCTATATTACACTAAATGGATTCTTGTGAACTTTAAGCTGTGTTATAATGTTACCTCATCAAAAACATACCTGGAGTTTTGTTTCATTCACACATTTAAGTAACCCTTTATTATTAGTCTGTCTACACCTCTAAAGCTCAAAATGCTCCGTTCTACCTTGTGATATCACGTAGTGGTAGTTTTCAAGTTACAGCTACCCTTTACCTTTAGTTCAGTAGAGATCGGAAATTTATGGACTGAAATCATCCAAATCACTCTAGTGAAAGTGTATGGAGTTTAAAAACACATTGGAGCCCTTTCTCTATTACCACATGATATCACAAGTGTTTTCTGTTTGAGTGTCAATAAAACAAAACACAACTCTCTGGATATGTTTGTGATGAGGAAACAACATTATAACAGATCAGAAACAGCGTAATATGGCCCTTTAATTGACTCCATCCATGGTCTCTGCACACACCATGGTGCCATAGATCTGCTGAGGATTGGGTTGAGTCCGCTCCTCCACCTCACTGTCAGTGCTGCCCTCGCTGTCCAGGGTGCCCGATGGGTGACACTGCCCTGACAGAGAGGGGTACAGGGCGTTGGGGGGCAGGGGGCTGGGCAGGAGGTCATCGTCCGAGCTCAGGTAGTCCCCCTCTGCAGACGTGGGGCTGGTCAGGTCCTGGTAGTTGGTGGTCCCGCTGCCACTGCTGATCCGGGAGCCAGTGGTCGTCTTCTGCCCGCGCAATATTCGAATCTGTGGAAGCAAAAGTGTTTAAGTGAGTGGTCCAGAGTGTTTAGGGTGTCTTTCATGTATCTTATTAAAGGTGCACTATGTAACTTTTTGCATAACTTGCTTTTGCTACTTTTTGTTACCTCAAATGTTCTACAGAATGGCATTCATCCAGTGCTGCCCAGTAATTACAAGGGATGCCAGTTACACAGTGTGCATAGTGCACCTTTCATGTACAATAATAATATATAATACAAAGGTTTTTTTTTACTAATATTGCTGGCTACTTTGCTACATGTGCTGGTTAGTATATACTTTAAAATCATGTACAGGCCTGTGGTCTATGGCCTCAGAGCTCACAGGTGCACATGAACACAGCTGGAGATGCATCTGCTCCAGTGCAGTTTGTGTGTCAGTTTGGACGCACCACACACACTCATGACAAATCTGAGGTTTTAGTTTCCCCCCCTTCATACATTTTAACCCTAAATGGTGGGAGCAGCAGTGGTTAACAGGGGAAATGATCTGACTTGTTGCACGTACAGAATATAAAAATAAGCAGCTTGTTGTCATGGTGAGCAGCGGGTGACAGGCTCCACCACATGAAACATTTGAGTGAGACTACATCTGTGTGACTCAAAGCAAAGCTGGTGACGTCACTCACTGTACTGAGATTTGTCTATTTGGTTTTCTGCCTCCTCATCTGTACTCACGCAAGTTTCAGGTAAATTTATTAAATCAAAATGGAGATCAAATGTCAGCAGGAAAGCAGCACAGAACAGAGCACCTTTATAGTCACGCACTGCAACTCTCTGAATGAACAAATGTTCATAATTCATGTTTCAAGTAAGAACATGACTTGTCTGTAATAAAATGTGGTGAAACTGTTGTTATAAAATCTCCATTATTATTTGACAGTAATGTTCAAAGTTCTTATTTGTCACACCTCATTTTTGAGTTCAGTGATCTGGTCCCGGAGCTGGTTGATGTACTGTCTGGAATCAGAGTGGTTGAGCTGACCCTGAATCAGACCTTCTTCTTTCTGCAAAATAAAGAAAATAAAAATAATAACTACATATATTTGATGCAAATGTGTAAATCAAACCACAACAGCACCTGTATCTCGAGTTCTGCAATCTTCTGCCTGAGCTCAGCCATGGCAGCCATGCTGTCTGCCTCTCTCAGCCTCACCGCCATCACTTCCTCTTTACTCTGAAGGATTTAAGGGACAAAACAGTTAAAGCTTTATACACACTGTATAAACTATGTGTTTTTTACTATAATCCTTCTGTTTGATCATTGAACCCAGACCTTGCAATCTGATTCTGCCTGTTTTCTCTTCATCTCTGAGCTGTGTCTGAAGAGCTTTGTTCTGATTGGACACCATCTGGAGCCGGTCCTGGAGGGCCGAGCGCTCCTGCTCATGACGACCGATCTGTTTGCCGTGGATCTGAGTCTATAAGACAAGAACCCTTCATGATGCCTTGTTTAAAACCACACATAACCATACTATTACTGTGTGAGTGTCAGACCTGGCTCTCCAGCTGCAGCACCTTGAGTTTGACCTCCCGGAGCTCGGCCTGGGCCTGAGCCTCTCTCAGACGCACCGTCATCAGTTTGTCTTGGAGCTCGTTCATGGCGTTCTTCTTTGGGGACTCTTTCCAGTGGCTGCTTCCACGAGACATGTGGTGCTGTGGTACACATGGTGAATATAAAGTACAGAGAAAGTCTATACTGGTTATTTCATGTATTTATTTTGTATAAAATAATAATTTAACTTATTATATTGTTTATATTTATATGACTGTTGTACTGCTGTCACCTGCCAGCGCTGGTTCAGTTCAGTGACTGTGTCCTGCATTTCTCTGAATGAACTCAGAGTCTCCAGCTCTCTCAGTTTCATCTGCTTCACCTCCTCTTGCAGAGCGGCCATGTTGTTCTCATCAGGCAGACAGCTGTTCTTCTGTGGATGAAAATCAATGAAGATTTAACAACTGCAATCTATTGTATCATATATTCTATAAGCAATAATTAAAGTTGGCTTCATAAACAGGAAACTAAATACTTTCATTTTGAACTGAGGATCAACATTAGAGTTGCCTGTTTACTTATGTGTTCAGGCTTATAAATAATTTATTGGTTGTGAATATACTGCAGTGTAATGTGCTGTTACCTTCTCCAGGTCAAGGATTTTGTCTTGCATCTCCTTCAGAGCTCCCAAAAGTTCAGCCTCACGTAGTCGAGATTGCTCCAGCTGTGTCTGCAAGTTGTTCACAAATTCCTCTGTGTACTGAAAGATAATAATAATAAGCATAAGTTCATGAATTCATTTAATTTTCTAGGTAAATGAAATTAAAGTAACTGAATGTATAGTTTCAATAAAGTGTTAACCAGGTAAAGGGGAAATGACTTCTACGCACTGTGAAAATATAAAAAGCCACAGTTAGTGTCAACTCTACCACTTCAAAGTGAAAGCACCAAGTTTTAAAGCGCTAAGTGGAAAAATACCCTCAAATTCGACCCAAACACGAGACAGTGAAATTGGCATAGTACATAGCGTGAGGATCAGTCTTTCGGTTAGTCATTTGATTTGTATCAAAGTTCACTGATCAAAGATGAGCGTGACAGACTGAAGAATGGGGAGAAAGGTTACGTGAATTTTAGACTGAAAAGTCGTCAGTGATATTTCTAGGGTTTTCATGTGGCTACATTAAAGTTGTAATAAAGTAAGACTAACTGTAAATTATGAACATAAATTTTTATCATCAACATCTGTATCACTTCTGCTAATTCAGTGATTCAACTCTAATTAATTGCAGGTAATTCAAACTGGGAATTACCTGCACTTTATAGACACACCAATGGCATAACAGGTATAGGTACAACATTTTTTTTTGTATGTGATAGCACTAATGGTTACGGAACAGTCCTCCAGTACTGTTTATGTTGTACTTTCAGAAAAGGAAGTAACATGCACACATATTTATTTATACACGTTATTGCTAACGCTAATATTTAAGTAGGCCTAGTATTGATTATTGTTCTTATCTTCCTCTTTTGATGTGTTTTTTACATTTTTTGAAATGACAAATGAAGAACCTTGATTATTTATCTTCACACATCAGCAAGTTAAAAGAGGTACTTTTCCCATCCTCCTTTCACTAAAACAACACATGACTAAAGAATTATTATTTAAGATTCTTAAACAGCCAATCACTGCTCTGTGTCACTAAGCTGTTACCCTCACCAACGGGTAAATAAATGAGCTACTGTTAGGAGGGACAAGCTTCAATTAAAATATGAATAACTAATGCTTTGACCATCCACACAGCTAAATGGCTGTCAGATTTAAAGGTGTAACGTTTCTGGTGGAGGGTCTGCCAAATGCTTTTCTTCATGGAGATGTTATTGCTTTGTCTGAAATGTTTCACAGTATGGCATTAAGCCTTTCTATCTTTGTGGAGATCAAACCAGACCGAGCTACAGGTCAGATCTGTGGAGAGGCATCCCTGCTCACAGTCAGAGCAATAAAACCACCTGTAATTGAATAAGTTTAAGGCAGATCTGTTTAATGTCATATTGTGGAACATTTTAAGCAGAGCGATGATATATCCATAGAACATTTCTTAGTTTCTTTCCATTTGACCAAATAATATACATTTTTTGAGTGTTTTCATACTAGGGCAAGCAAAAAAGAATAAAACAATGTGACTGAATGCTTTTGTTGTCTCTGTCAGACGTTATGTGTAGAAAATTCATTTTGTCTTCTTGTTATATAGAAACTTTGTGTTTTCTTCTAAAACAATAGGCTAAAGCTCAGGTGGTTGTTATAGTGGGCTTGGGATTTTCTAATCTTTTCCAGACATTTTTCCCATAACTTCCATGAATTATGTTCAGAAATTTCATTTTATCTTCTTGTTATGTTGAGTCTTATCTTCTATAAAAAAACACAAAGTCAGACATTATGTATAGAAAATTCATTTTGTCTTCATGTTATATAGAAACCTTATATTATTACAAGAAAAACACAAATTCTCTGTCAGACATTCTTACCTTCTGTTGCATCAGCTCTCTGATGGTGTCCTGTGCTTTCTCCAGGTTCTCTGTGGCGGTGGTGCATTGCTGCCGTACCACCGCCAACTCCCGTTTGATCACGTAGTTCTCCTCAGCCTCCTGGGCTCGTGTCACCTGACCCTGAAGGGAAACCGTGTTCAGACAAGGGCTCTTACAGATAACCAAATGAATGGGTTTACTGTGTGGGCTGCAAACAGTAAGGCCTAATTTAAAGGTCACATATTATGCACAATTGACTCTTTTGACCCTTTTAAGCCATGCTATAATGTTGTTACCTCATCAAAAACATACCTACAGTTGTGTTTTGTTTCATTCACACGTTTGAGAAATCCTGCATTCTTAGACTACATTTCCAAAGCTCATAATGCTCTGTTCCACCTTGTGATGTCATGATAGTGGTAGTTTTCATGTTAACAGTCTTTCATTTTTAGTTCAGTAGAGCAATTCCAGTCCTGAAATCATCCAAATGAGTCTAGTGTATGTGTGTATGTGTATGGAGTTTAAAACACAGTAGAGCACTTTCTGTATTACCACATGACAACATCACAAGGTGGTACAGAGTGCTATTTGAGAGAAAACCAGCCTAAATAAGCAGGTTTGTGTGTTAAACCTGTGTGAATGAAACAAAAACAATTAAAAGGTATGTTTTGGATACATGGATCAGAACTTAGCGTAATACGGGCATTTTAAAGGTGCACTATGTAACTTTTCTGGTGAGGGGAGTCTGCCACCTGCTTGTATCCATGGAGTTGTTAGTGCTTTTCCTGGAATGCCCCACAGTATGGCATTAAACATATCAATCTTGCATTTATCTAATTATAATTTATTTATTGCTGTAATACCCTGAAAAACATGGATGCTTACAGCCTCGCCACCCTTGTTTAAAGTCACACTGTGGAGCATTTCAGGCAAAAATAATGACATCTGAATGGAGAAAAGCAAGTGATAGATCCTCTACCAGAAAAGTTACATAATGCACCTTTAATAAATCCTTAATGAATTTATGTATTCGTGAGTCTGAATGTAACTTTGAACTGAACAACAAAAATAAACATGACCTGTCTTTTGATGTAAAAAACTGCTAAACATTAACACGTTATGAGGTTCAAAAACTGTTCCATGCCACATGCGGGAGCTATAGAGCCTCACTGTACTATGGATCCTGAGATCACCATGCATTCAGTTTTTCAGGTGGTTTCATTCATGCATTGACAGGAGTCCAAAGGGCATCAGACAAAGTGCAGGGGTCAAAGGTGAAAGAGAGGACAGTGGATAGCAGTACTGTACCTGTATCAGTCTGTCTGCCAGAGCAGCACTCTCCTACAGTGCAACCCAGATGAAAAAAGAGAGAGTGAGAGAGAGGAAGAGAAGGGGTAGAAATGGTGTGAAGAAATTGGAAATCACCAGAAAATCACAACAGAAAACAAGAAGAACACATATACAAATTAGGAAACCAAGGAGAGGGAAAAATGAAGAAAAGAGACATTTTTAAAGAAACAATAAAAGCAGTATTGATGAGTCTATACACTATCTTGACACAAACTTGACACAAATTTACTATAAATAAAAATCTATGGAACATTAGCACAAAATTTCAGAAACTTCTCACACCTAAATTTCTGACGAATGAAGGGGAAGATTACATTTTGTTGCATTAAAGGTGCACTATGTAGCTTTTTAGTTGGGGGTCCATCATCTGCTTGTTTCTGCTTATTATATAAATATTCCACAGTATGACATTAAACAGCTCTACCTTACATTAATCAAATTACTGTTGGCTTCATAGCTCAAAAATACTTAGAAAAACAGGCTGTAACCCGATCTGAGCTGTAACTTGTCTGATTTGGTCTCTATGAAGATTGAAAGGTTTAATACCATACTGTGAAACATTCCAGATAAAGCAATAACATCTCCTGGAGAAAAGCATTTGATGGACCCTCCAGCAGAATAGTTACACAGTGCATCTTTAATAGAAAATGTAATTAAAAGATAAAATATGTTTACCTTTTCTAATGTCTCGATTCTCTGCTTCAGGAGTCGGTTTTCTGTGCGCAACCGCTGGCAGAAAGTGAAAAGGACAAAGTTGAAGTGTGGGATTCTTGTTGTGTAGCGTTAGTATCATTATGTAGGCTACTGACCTTTATCTCAATCTGTTCCTCCATTTCTTTGTTCTTTATTGTGGTATATTCTTTCTCCAGCCTGGTGTGAAACAGAGAGTTGAATCAGTCTACTTTATCTTATCAGAGTGTTTTAATATTACAGTTGCATCAGTACTAAGACAGTGTTCATACTTCTTCATCCTCTTGGGGTTGTATTTGACCTGGTAGGCCCTGAGGATTAGCTTGTCGGGGCAGCTGTCAAACTGGTGGGGGATCACTTTTTGGAAATGCTGCAAAAACACAAAATATACTTTGGCAATTCAAATAATGCTGTATTTTTAAGGTTAAAACATATTTCTGTTTCTTACCTGTGACATGCCCTCCATGTCCAGCTGAATGAGGTCAGTCTGGTTGTACTGTAGAATGGCCAGGCCAACACGGAAAATAATTTCCAGGCCCTATGGATAAATTAAGCAGACCATTTTTTTCATTAAGCAATAAACAGTGCATTATTTAAACCAACAATGGGCTGTATACTCACCTCATACATAAAAATATCAAAGATGCGTGTTGCAACAGGAAGAGGGAGGAAGGTGAGGAAAAGGGTGAGAAACCAGGACGAGGCGTACATGGATGTGTGAAAACTCTGGGACTTAAAGTGTATGTTCAGTTCTGGGAGCTGCTCCTGTGGTTAATAGAAATGTTTAACATCAGCATTAGTTTCAGGACAAGTGTCACGACAGTAGTGCCCCCTTGTGGGGCAAATCCACTCTGCAACTTTTACCTGAAGAAGATATTCAAACTGGTAGATGCAGAGGCCCAGTTCAGCCATGCTGGGTTTGAACAGCTCTCTCAGGCGATACTCTTGCATCAGACGCACAAACACACAGAAGGCTTCTTCCTCAGGCATCTGGAGGGACGAGAGGCATATGAGCTCTCATGAATGTCTTTGGGTGTACATTCTAATGAGCCTTTATGGAAATGTCTGTTCACTTACTTGCATTAGCAACAGCCCTACAATGAATGCACTGCCTTGACAATAGCCCACCTCTCGATCCACAAGGGAGTAAGCCTGTGAAATACAGACATGTTTTAAACCAATGTCCTGTTTAAATCTGCCATCTTCAAACAGATGAGAAGACCAGAGGCATCTCATTTCCTGAGCAGCAGAAAACAAGAGGCTGCATTCGGGGGTTTCTGCATCAGATTTTAGGCAAATTTCCTGTCGCCAGAGATCCACCACAAATCATATTAGCAGAGTCTGAAAACAGCAACCTGGATAATAATAATTCAGGCTTAAATTGTCACAGTTTTTTGAAAACAAGAAAAAAATATGAGCAGAAAATTACTATTCTTTTTCTTTTTCAGTTCTTCTCACTCCCAATATTGATACTAATGCCAGTGTGCAGTACCTTCATGACATTGAAGAGGACCTCCTGACCCAGACTGTCCTGGCCTTTGAAGAACTCGTGCTCTGGATATGTGCGGGCAATGTCTCTGCGGATCAGTTTCTCACACGGAGACGACATCTTCAACAGTTCAGAATACTGGTTCTTCACTGGCATGTCTGTGGCATTACCCAGCAGCTGCCACACGATGGCACGGAAATGGTGAGGGATGCCCTTCCTGATCAGCTCCTGTGAATGCCAAAGAGAGTAAAATGGACTTAGGATTCATATCAAAGCATGGACTCTGTGATGTTAAATTGTCATATGAAGAATTAATCAATATATTTTGGTAAACTGATTCATAAAATAAATTAAATCCACAAGGCTCTTCAGTAAGCAGTTCAAAATGCCTGTCCTCGCCAAAAGGCTACATTAAAAATTCTACATGAGTATGATCCTTGTTCTAATACGATCTCATCTTCTAAAATGTACTTTTTTTCAAATCAGTGAGATTGAAAACAACTACTTTTCCATTTATCTTAACAAATGTGTTGTCTCATCATTTCCCTTCGTGTTTCCCCTTCCGGAGAGGGCACATGGGTGAAAGAATGCAGGATAAGTTGCTGTGACTGCTGTCTGTGACTGATAATGAACTATAAGAAACTGACAACCTCAGGGTAATAATGGTGGTTACCCATGGGTTTCAGAATGATGAGAAGATGACTGTTGCCATAGCAATGAACAATTTCAACTAATATTTTGAATGTGAAAAAGTCCCCAAAAAACTAATGAATTCCTGGAGATACTGCAGTTCAGAGCCCAAGGTAATGTTTCAAAAGTGTCTTGCCTTTAGGAGTTTGTCTTTTTTGCGTCTCCACTCCTCCCACTCGTTGACTATGCGTCCCCACAGGATCCAGGTGTCCTCCTCCAAGTGGGACAGGTTTGAGGAGGCCGAGGAGCTGGACACAAGGGAGGAGCCACTGTTGCGCCGTGAGCCACTCATGGACCGCATGGATTTGGAGTCAGCTTCTAACAACCTGAGAAGAGATATTAAGCCATGGAAAACAGATGTTTACATAAGGCTAGTCTCAGAAGTATTGTTCCCATTTTTGTCATCCTTCTACTAGCAACTCCAATCCTTAGTGTTTGGGTACGTGCCCAGTTTGAGTCTAATGTAGATTTGGTTTGGTGGCATATCCTAAATGTTAAATACCTGTTTTGCTCCTCCAATTTGGCCAGTAATTCTAGCTCGTCTGGACTGAGATTCTCAGAGTCTGCAGGAGACACAGCAGGAGCTGAGAGCACGGCATCATGGGAAGATGAGTCTGGACTGAGCACTGGACTGCCTGTGGAAGGATCAGGATCCATGCCCGGAGGGGAAGAGGGACACTCCAGCTGAGCCATGGAGCCTTCTCTCTCAGGGCTGTTACTGGCAATAGACATGGTTCACTCTCACTGTCTTCACTCTGGCCCTGCTATTTCCTGATCAACCAGCAGGTGGCCTGAGAGCCAATCTGATCAGAGCTCCTCAAACCTGGTGAGCACACACACAAAAACAAAAAAATAGAGTTTATTACAGTTACTTAATAACTATTATATAATAAAAATACATGAGTTTTAGAGTTATGAAATTCTAGCACTGCTGCCAAATCAGTTAACAATTCAACATAAAATATGATATCTTTTGAATGGTAATTGGTCTTCAAATGTCACCTATAAAGGGGAAGTTGAAACCCATGAATAGTATATTGTTTTGACCTTCAATATGAGGATGAAACTACGTGTTTGCCTTGTGTTTCCAGACATCACTGTTGACATTTCCTATAGACAAGTAACTTGTTTGTAACAAGCATCTTGAGCCATCGAAAGTATAACTATTAAGCTAATCCACAGAACAATACCAGTGGAGTCTGCTCCTCCCAGCTCATATAACTGTTGTGAAGGAGTGGTCCTGGTTACTGATGAGATCATTGAGAAACACTGACAGCACTTTTAAAATGCAATCAAATCTTGTCTGACATTAATTTGGTCTGTGACAATAAAGGCAATTGTGGTAATCTAATCAGACTAAAAATGGAAGGTAAATAGGCTATGCAAAATGATCACAGAGCAACACAACAGATGGGTCTGAATTATTGATCCCTTCTTTTTCCAAGAAAAGGAAACTGGCTGATTAAATTAATAATTTTCTAATATTAGAAGCCACAGATTTTTGTGTCACATAGAGACATTTTACTCTGCAGTGTCCAGCAGCCCCTCAACATGAGCCACATCCCTTGTCATCCCCATAAAGCAGGTGGCTAAATATAGAACTGCAGTTAGCTTCCAGATGTGAGACAGATTTTGTGGGGGCTTATGTTGCGTGATACAATTTTACAACTGGCTGTGCTGCTGTGTCCACCACTGTATTAAAGAGAAATCCAAAACAGTCACTACAGACCATTATGGAAAATAAACAAGGCTTTGACCATCCTTCCGTGTTCTTTTGCATATCTGTAGCCAGATCATGGGGGCAGCAGTCTAAGCAGGGACTCACAGACTTCCCTCACCCCAGACACTTCCTCCCCCAAGACATAGTCCCTCCAGTGTGTTCTGGGTCTTCCCCGGGTATTCTTCCTCCCCAGGGAGACGTCCAGGAGGCATCAAGAACAGATACCCTCCCCTCAGCTGGCCCCTCTTGACGTGGAGGAGCAGTGGCTCTACTGCGAACTCCTCCCATGTGACTGAGCTCCTCATCACTAAGGGAGCACCCTGCCACCCTGCGAAGAAGCTAATTTCCACTGCTTGTCATTGCAATCTTCTTCACAACAACAGTATGATACAGAGACCACATCATGACTTTGAACATGTTCTGCTGCTAATAATGAACCTGTGAGCTACAAGGAGAACATTACATTATACATTACATCTGAACCCACGTAAACTAAATTTTGTTTTAACAAAAAAGACATCCACTGGCTAACCCAAAATGTAACAACAAAACACAGAAAATTAGCAGGGGCAATAAAGGAGGTAAACCTCTGGTCTGAACCAAGAAATCCACATGGCCAGACAAGGAGTGCATTCATTCACCACAACCAGGCCAATCAAAAGATCCATTAAGAAACCAATGGAACCAATCACATCTGTAAACAGACTCCAGCTACAAGACAGCAGCTTGCCTTTCAAATGAAAAACAACATTGACAACTAACTGTATTACAAAAGCAATTTCAGTGAGACTGTGAATATTGGATGAGATGTGATCATGAAAAAGGGGAAGAAAACAAATTGAAATTTGAAATTCAATTGACAAAAGTAAAACACAACAAGGCCTATTAGTTGGTTCCATAAGCAAAGGCAAATTCAACAGTGATCAACAAGATTAATCAGTTTATACGTACACGTCTAACTAATAAATAGTAGTCATGAGACATGAGTATATAAATACTTCAATTTACCAATACTCTGCCTATAAATGTAAATGTGGTTTCATGTGAAAATGTGAAAATCTTTTAGTGTGTTTGTCAGTGAAAGCAAATGGATTTCAAAGGGAGTCAACAATTGCAAATTATGGTCAAAATGTTATGTCTCTTCTTATAATAACTTTCACATTAAATTTGATATGATGTGACACTCCTGACCACAGAGCAGTTTAGCAGCACACTGGTAGTTAGCGGTGAGACTGTAGCCTGGGTTTGCTGTAAAGCTCTGAGTCATGGAGGAGAGCAAAGAGAGCCCAAACAGAAGGACATTGTGAAGGTCTATGACAAAGCACAACACTCTCCTGAGCCCACAGCTGATCACAGTGTGACAGGCGCTAACACTAACGCTCACGCTCGCTCCAGACACTCAGGGCTATGAGACAGAAAATACAACTGCAAAAGATGTGTTACTGTGAAGATATTATGATGAAGGTTACAGTGATGTGTACTAGCATGGACAGCTTTAAAACAGACCGTAGTAATATCACTGCCAAAACTGTGATTTGCAAATAATTAAAAGGTAAATCCTTATAATTTACTGCAGTCAAATATTAATAAAATTTTTGCTTTAGAATACCATCAGTCATCATGGCAACAACTGGTAACTATACCACATTTTGTCCTTTTAAGCCTCAATTAATTGAGTGCAAGAAAAGCTTGGGGAGGGTACTTTGCAATGCTGAGATGAGCTATAAATGTGGGATGCAATAGAAAAATTGACCAGTTATCCACAGTCTCTGATTTACTTGCATATCTGTGGACATTGAGCAATTGTCTAAAGATTGTGACTAAGGCTGGCAAATACTGACAAATATGAATATATTTTTCTTTATCATCCAGATGGTGATTGTCAAACAGTGTTATCCCACGTTCTAGTAAATTTCTAAGGAGAATTATAACTGAAGTTTAAGTTTTGCATAAACATGAACTGGACTACAAAATCAACATGGATGTAACAATAACCGAAATGCATTATTATTGTTAAATGCATTGTTATGGTGCAGCAACAGCTAAAAAACAGGGTGAACTACACAGACCATGACCATTTACTCCATTTCAGTGCAGACTACAGAAGAATTTACAGCAATTAAATCTGAATTCTTTGGATTGTCAAGGCATTTTTAAAGAAAAAGCAGCATATTCACTATTTTATCTCAAAAAATCACAAAATATCGCAAATAAAATACAAAATAAATATTGTACAGTGAAATGAATATGTTGAAAAAATCGTAGTAAGAGATTTGGATATCATTACATCCCTAAAAATTAACCACAAAGCGCAGAAATAACACTGTATACCATAGTTTTTGTATATAATTCTTATAGATAAAATACTCATACTCAGTACTACATTTGCATACCTCAGATTCCATCTCTGTTTTTCAATACATCTCCCATCTCTCACTACACTCATGTTAATGTTTAAATCTCCTCAGTGCTCTCTGATCTCCTTGGCCTCTGTTGCTCCATCCATAACACAGACTCACTCAGCCGGAGCGGTTGCAGCTAACGCCACTAACCTCGCTAACCTCGGCGTCTCTAACTCATCATGATTAAATGTTTGTCTACAACACGTGGACTGAGCATTTCCATGGTCTTCACCTCATGCACACTGTCCTTGAGCTTCCCCGATGTATTTCTCTAGAAAAATGGGGGGGTACTATATAATTTTTTTGTGTACGACATATGTTTAAAGGGCTTATATTACGCCATCAGTTGTGTTTTGTTTCATTCACACGTTTACCACACAAACCCTGCATATTTAGGCTCTTTTCTTCTCTCAAACACAAATCACTCTATGTGGTAATACAGAAAGTGCTCCACTGTGTTTTTAAACTCCATATGCCTTCAATAATTTGGATGACTTCAGCACTCAGCTAAAGGTAAAAGGTAGTTATTAACTTGATATCGCAAGATGGAACAGAGCATTTTGAGCTTTGGAGATACAGACAGACTAATATTAAGGGATTACTAAAACATGGGTGTATGAAACAAAACACAAGTCCAGGTATGACTTTGATTAGTTATATTGCGTAATATAGAATTAAAGGTGCACAATGCAATTTTTCTGGTGGGGGGAGTGTGGGGTCTGCTTGTGTCCATGGACCTGTAATTGCAGCAGTACTTATTTCAACTTGTCTATCTTGTTTTCAATTACAGGTGTTTTTATGGCTGAAGAAAAAACATGCATTCTTATTGTGAGTAGGTTTGCCTCTCCACAAATGTAGTGTCACCTACTTGTCACCATAGAGATACACAAGCTTCATGCCATACTGTGGTACATTCCAGGCAAAGCAATAATATTTCCATACACACAAGCAAATGGCAGCTCACTACCAGAAAAGTAACATAGTACACCATTATGAAGTGCCCAACCATCCAATTCTAATGTGTTTACAAGCAGAGTTATCAGACTGAAACAAATGAGCAAAGACAAGAAATGTCTTCATCCCCAAAAGCTTGTAATACAATGACATCTATCATATTGACAAGGCTGTTAAATAGCTTGTAACCATCCTGACAGCAGTATGACTCATGGCTAATCTCAAAACTGGATTAAAAAGAACCGCACCAATAAAACCAGCCAGGGATTTGTAAATGTATTCTAGAGTAACAACTAGGTCCCACGTAATGTTCTCAGAATAAGTAAATAGTGTAACTAAATGTAATATGAAATGCTCTTCTCCATGGAGATGTTATTGCTTTGTCTGAAATGCTTCACAGTATGGTATTAACCCTTTCTATCATCATGGGAACCAAATCAGACCAAGTTCAGGTCAGATCTGTGGAGAGGCAACCCCGCTCACTGTCAGAATGCCTGTTTTTCTAGGTATTTTTCCACCTTTAAAACCTGTAATTTAATAAACGTAAGCTAGAGCTGTTTAATGTCATACTGTGGAACAATCCAGACAGAGGAAAGACATCCATAGAAACAAGTAGGTGGTGGACCCCTAATCAAAACAACCTTTAACTCATTGTTTGGTGCAGTTAGAAGCAGCAAAAGGTTATACAATTTGATCCAGAATCTGTGAGTTATTTTGCTAGACCAAACACGAGTTCCCACATCACAGCTAAAAGGTTAATATTCCTCCATAGATGTCTTCTGGGGCTGTAAATTATTTTTAAAAGGGTCAGTTCAAAATAAAAACCATCTTGGACATTTTCCTACAGAAACATTCACTGAGTCGCTTACAGTATTTGTTTCCATTTAGCTGTAGTAGTACCATGGGAATACATACTCAGCCATACAAAAATATGGGAGGATGTATCATGTTCCTATTAATATTTGTTCCTCCCTGTAGCTGAGCTGTACATGCATTTCACGTTTCAGTAAATGTGCAGCTCCAGTTACAAATGTGAAACTGACAAGAACAATAGAGTAAGGAGGGACAGAGAGGAGGGTCAGCAATTGTAGCTGTGTGCATGTGTCAGCACAGAAACAGGGCCGTGAAGCTAGGGTTAAGACAAAAGACTTAAGTTCAAAACATAATTTACAAACACAGGCATTTAGTCTGTTCACTTTACATTATGATTTACATATGACTGGACATGACCTAAACTACACAATGTTGTGCCAGACTGAATGTTCCATCTCTGACAATGCAATTTAAAGAATTGAATATGTTAATAGAAAATACAATTGAATGAGTGAACACTTAAGGGTCCACTATATAACTTTTTGATAAGGTCCGTCACCTACTTGTTCTTATAACACTTATAACGCCATAACACTTGAGATACCACTGCTCTGTCTGAAATGTTCCATGGTATGACATTAAAAAGACATACCTTATATTTATTAAATTACACATCGTTTTGTAGCTCAATAATACCTGGAAAAACAGGCATTCTGACTGTGAGCAGGGTTGTCCACAGACTTGACCAGTAATTTGGTTTGGTCTCCATGAAGTCAGAAAGGTTTAATAACATACTGTGAAACATTCCAGACAAAGCAATAACATCTCCATGTAGAAAAGCATTTGTCAGACCCCCGAGAAAAGTTACACAATGCACCTTTAAGGATAACTTTACTAAACAACAGTAACTGGTAATAAACCTGTACTGCTGTTTACTAATATTAATATATTCAAACACTGACAGTCACTCACATAGCCTATAGATTCACTACTCGATAACTACTTGCAGTAAAAAAATAAATTTTAGTCTTTGATTGACAACATTGTTTCTGAAGTCTAGCCCATGACCACAACCGCATACGTAAACTTCCCTTACCCACTGCGTATAATAAGTTACCTTACTATAAATTGAGTTACATGTGTTCACTTCCTGCATTCTGCTGCCAACCTTGTGTGTGTGTGTGTGTGTGTGTGTGTGTGTGTGTGTATCTGTGGCTGAATTATAAAATCAGGAGGTCCTTCAACTATTCCATTTTATAGGCTACGTTTTGGCTAGAATGTGTCATTGGCAGAGCTGTGTAAGAGAAAGTGAACAGAATTATTATATAGTACTATATCGTTTGCATTCTTCTTTTATTTTATCATAGTTTATATTTGCTATTATTATTATTTGTTTAAACTTACACCATAATGCATAAGTAAATTCCTGAATTTTGTTCATAAAACATATTCAGTTTTTGACTTGAATGCACAAATGCTATCCTCACTATTTCAGCTGTTAAAATACTGAGATGAGAGATGAGTGAGCAGGAACCCGTCTGAAAGGATTAGAAGAAAGGACAAATTGCTTGGCTCAAGTGATTACAGTATATCATGGCATATACAACAGTATAATGAACTAATGTAATGTAGTCGTCAGTGTAGGTTGAATAGAGTGGCCAAACAAGGTCACCATGTCAGTCAGATTCCTGTTTCCTCTTTTAATGCACTGAGGGATCTCTTTCTTAAGTGAGAGTGGATTAGGAGAAACGTGAGCATAATCTCATCACATCTTCAATGAGGATATGACAAACCGTAATATTGTAAACTCTGGCTGACTCATTAGAGTTAACACGGGACTACATAGTTTGCCCTTTTGCTGTGATGGCCTTGGAGGCTTGCAGTGTCAGGGTATCTGCACCTTGTTTACCTGTGAAGAGTAATAGGATAATTTAAAAAATGGTTGACTGTCGCAATAATATATGGGCCGTTGTCTCTGAATTAGGCCTAATTGGAAAAGGCTTCTCAGCATATAGGCTATAGGTCACAGAAGGCTATTGCAAAGCTATAGATCAAACAAACCAACTGCCAGATTGAGAAATAAACCATGGCCTGTATAAAATCACTGGCCACTTGCACGTTTGAGCCCCCTCGTGTATGGGCAGTCATTGTAAAGTGCCGCTGATCGGCGCACACCAGGCCCAACACACGCTCTGCAGTCGCCCTGCTTCTATCAACAGAGCCTATGTGACACATCATTACATTATAAGTGAAATGCCTCGGCTTGTGTAGCAACATTAAATGGAACTAGAACCCAACACGGACTGCCAAGGCACGTACACTTCCCTTTTTCGATAAATGCGGCTGTAAAATATAGGCCTGTGCTTCTGGAAAGAGATCACGAAGCTAAAGCGCTCGTTGGACATCAGTGTTCCTCTAAATAACGCGGTGGCCGTAAACATTTACATGTAGGCCAACATAACCACATCTTACCAGTTCTTCCTTTTCATGATCCTAATGGTGAGCCGTCATGCTTACTCCAGCATCCACGGGTCAAATGTTTGTAGTCGGCTAATTAAAATCTTTATGGACCACCGAGGAGCTTTTCAGGGACCGTCCAACGCTGTGCCATCCTCGATCCTCCTCCAGCCGCACAGCTGCCGCACCGCTCCGCCGCGCCAGGCAGAGCTGTGTCCTGGGATATGACGGGGAGAGTACGTGTCCACGGGAAAACAGAATAAAACATTTAGATAGACTGATGCTGTTACCGCGTAGAGGCAGAATGACGCTTACATGGCGACATGAATCATTACAAATAAATCACAGAATGGCTGGCGTCGGTCCTGTCAGCTTGAGGAGGGGCGCACCAATCACCGGGCAGAACTCCACATGATGAGCAGGTTACTGACCAATTGGATGCAGCTATGCAAAAGAAAGACAACAGTTAGGACCAATCAACGTAGAGCTTTATTCTGTGAGAAGGCGGGCTGTACAGGTGCTACAGGCACAGAGGTAGCAACAGAGGAATTAGTCCCTCACAAATTAATAAAAGCAAGCAGCAGCAAATAGGAAGGTCATTCATTACCAACTTTTGTATATTTATTTATTGCCATAGTTTTCTTCTGCAGCCTAAGTCAGAAACTGAGCTATCTCCATCAACAATAAGGGCATCTATATCCATGTAGTCATACGAAAAAGAGTGAGTAACTTAATACTGTGTCACTAAAATGACAGCACTTCAAGCGCTACCTCTGCTTAAATCGTTACTCGATGCTGCCACCAAATGGACACAAATGATATCATTTATCTCACGTTTTGGACAAATTCATTAAAAAAATGTGTATAGACTACAAAAGGCATATTGAATAGATTGTAATGTAATAAATGTAAATAATATGATAATGTTATATTTGAACATTACATTACTATTATAATATAATATAATATATACTATAAAATGTTATGATTTTAAGTATGCTGGCCATAGACTGTAGAGTCATGTAACCCCACAGATAACCCTATGTAGGCATAGAACTATAGATCAACATATATAGGCTATACAGTCCCGCGGACTGGTGATGCCTTCACGTACTTTAAAAGCCATGGTAATAAATACGACTATCCTGAAGTATTCTGAATGTAATGTGTGTGTATATATATATATCATATTGATATTACACAATTTACTTTTTGTGGTATATTTGATATTACACAATATAGTCTATATATAGTGTAATATCAAATATACCACAAAAAGTAAATAAATTAATTAAGCTAATTAAATGAATAAACTTATTTTACCAAAACAGCATGCACAATTATTTTACTAAAGATGTACAATTTCACTTTTTTCCGGGTTGCCCTTTAATGCACCGCGCATGTGCTTTTTTCTCACGACGCCGAAAAGCTGCCTGTGTAAAACATACCGCGAGCACGGCAAAGAAAAACAGTACTATCTATCGTACTAGAACTAGAAGGTAATTGTGTAAATATTTTTTCTGGTTTTATTCATTGTTTTTACTGTGAATATGCCCCGTTTGTTTAGCATTGTTTGAAAAGTTTTAAATTGACATTCGCGGTGCCATGTAGCTAGCTTTAAGCTAAATACTCAAACACAGCTAATCTTCCTTGTTTGCGCATGTTTCACATCTAAGTTTAAATAAAATTTACACCATTGCCTTCTTGTCTCCTAAGATGTATACAAGATATGGTGCAAATACTATGAAGTTTTAATTTAACTCTTGAATTGCTAACGGTGGTTTCTTGTGGGCATGGTCTTTGAATGAACCGAGTCAGTCTTTTGTTGATTCAATGTTGTAGTCATGTAGACATCGATATTATATCATATATTATCAATCATATTCTTAATGATGATTTTTAGCAAGGGTTACTGTCCAGTCATTCCTGCATACTTTTTTTGTCACTTTGTTTTTACAGATGTCTGAGAACGACGTTGACAACGAACTTCTAGACTATGAGGAAGATGAGGATCCTCAGGGAGTAACAGAAACGACTCCAGCCAAGAAGGAGGTGAAGGGGTCCTATGTGTCCATCCACAGCTCTGGGTTTAGAGACTTTCTGCTCAAACCAGAGCTGCTGCGAGCTATTGTGGACTGTGGATTTGAACACCCCTCAGAGGGTAAATAGTACTTAGAAATATATGGCTCTACATAACTGTAATATTATATAGTTAGAAATGCATTTTTTTTTTCTGACAGTCCAACATGAGTGCATACCTCAAGCAATTTTGGGCATGGACATTTTGTGTCAGGCCAAATCGGGTATGGGAAAAACGGCTGTGTTTGTACTCGCTACACTGCAGCAGTTGGAGCCAGTAGATGGTCAGGTGAGTAGGACCATTACATTTGTATTACTTGGATTGGAAATGTGATTTAACTTCCATGGTATTACTCCAATTGCTTCTGCGTATAACCAGTGCTTTTGTGTTATTAGGTGTCTGTCCTTGTGATGTGCCACACTCGAGAGCTAGCCTTCCAGATCAGCAAAGAGTATGAGCGCTTCTCCAAATACATGCCCACTGTAAAGGTGTCTGTGTTTTTTGGTGGTCTGGCAATCAAGACAAACGAGGAAGTGTTGAAACAGAACTGCCCCCACATAGTTGTTGGAACACCAGGTCGAATTCTCGCTCTCGTTCGCAACAGGTCCCTGAACCTGAAGAGAATCAAACACTTTGTGCTTGATGAGTGCGATAAGATGCTTGAAGCACTAGGTGAGTAAACGCAAAGAGACAGTGATGATGTTTTAAAATGGCATGTTTTGATTAGTTCAGTCCACCCTAAATCTTTAACTGATTTGTTCTGATATATTTTAAACCAGATATGAGGAGTGATGTTCAGGAAATCTTCAGATTGACCCCACATGAGAAACAGGTGATGATGTTCAGTGCCACCCTGAGCAAAGACATCCGCCCTGTGTGTCGCAAGTTTATGCAAGATGTAAGTAACTTTGCATGATTTTAGTCCTAGCCATATTTATTATTATCTTCAATTATTTTAACACTGTACCAGCAGATTTAGAGAGCCCATTTAAGCTTTGCCCATTTGTGGCCCTCCGTGTCATAAATGGCCATAACAGTGGGCTAGAGTGATCCTCCTAAGCACTTTGTTGAAGTAAGAATAGTCCAACCAGCTGTATCTGCTACTGGCAAAGGGAACGTTAATAACAACTTTATTTAACTTCTATTCAGTCTTGTTTGTTTAACTTTGACCCACCATTAACATTTTGTTTTCACACAATGTCACTGAAAGCCTAATATTTCCCATCTTGTTTAGCCTATGGAGGTGTTTGTGGATGATGAAACCAAGTTGACTCTTCATGGATTGCAGCAGTACTACTGTAAACTCAAAGACAGTGAAAAGAACCGCAAGCTGTTTGACCTACTCGATGTACTTGAGTTCAATCAAGTATGTGTAGCCTTTTGTGTATGAACTTACATTTAATTTGGTTACTATCAGCAAATAACACTTCATTCTTTGTGCTGGTTAGGTGGTCATTTTTGTGAAGTCAGTCCATCGTTGTGTAGCTTTATCCCAGCTTTTGGTTGAACAGAACTTTCCTGCCATAGCTATCCACAGAGGCATGGCTCAGGAAGAGCGGTATGTGTTTTTTTTTAAAAAAACAAAGCAGTGTAGATGCATTTTTTTTTAACTGCTCTTTTCCATCAAAGGTTGTCCCGATACCAGCAGTTTAAAGATTTCCAGAGGCGAATTCTGGTAGCAACTGATCTCTTTGGCCGAGGCATGGACATTGAGCGTGTAAACATTGTGTTCAACTATGACATGCCGGAGGATTCAGATACTTATCTTCACAGAGTATGTTGATTACTAAAATTTGAATATACATGTATGGATATGCATGTACTGTCATGTATGTAATTGCTCTGAATCTTTAGGTGGCCCGTGCAGGAAGGTTTGGTACTAAAGGCCTGGCTGTCACATTTGTGTCAGACGAAAGTGATGCCAAGACTTTGAACGAGGTCCAAGACCGCTTTGAGGTCAATGTGCCCGAGCTTCCAGGGGAGATTGACATTTCTTCTTACAGTGAGTTATTTATGTAAATTGTCACAAATTTCATTTAATGATACCTGTGTCTAGTGTTTTCAATCTTTGTGGTGATTTTTCTTTCTCTTTTACAGTTGAGCAGTCCAGATGAGTGTCTCATTTGTCAACCGTTGTGGCTTTTGGTGTTTCTATATTTTTAGGGAGGAGAAAAAAAATCTCAATTTACCTTCATACTCCAGCCATATTTGTTAGAAAGTTCATAATGATAATTTATTTTATCATGTACCAACCCTGTTTTATTATGTTTTTCATGTTCATGGATATATAGTTTTTGGTTAAATAAAGTTTTTATACCTTCCTCGTTACTTTTGCCTTTTATAAATTCAAAGGAAGAGGGCGCCCTTGTCAAGCTACAGAAAGTCAAACAGTGTGAAGCACTGTCAAGTCAGTAGAGCCTGTAAAAAGTGGAGTTTAGTGGCCACTGGCCATCAATATTTATTTAATCAAAGGCAGACAAAAATACAAGTTTTATCCTAATAAGGCACAAGAAACATTTGATATTGGTCCAATTTCCTACTCTTCATTTCTATTAATAATCATACCTCCAACTAAAACATTCAGGATTCACAATGCTTTGATAAATTATTGCAGAGATATACATTCATTTATCCACAACACAAATTAACCTTTCTTGCTCTGTACAGCAGCCAAGAAGAGCTGCCTTGTCATATACTATGTTGTATTTCTGTACATGCCAGTAAATAATGAGGTGATCTATAAGATCACTGTGCAAAGTGCTTTGTTGCTCTTGATTCTTCCTGGGGAGATGACCTCACAACTTGAGCAAAGTGTTGAGGGATTCAGATATGTCCCTTTGTCTTTTTACTCACTTTCCCACAAGGCCAGTGGAATTTAATTATACCAGGGACATCTGGAGCCATATACATTAAATTGTCTTCATCCCCCCCAGGAAACACCAAATCTAGTCAATGAACTTGTGTGTGTCTCCGTACATCCAGTGTTGTGGGGGCAAAGCTACTTCATTGAGATGGCCACAGTCAGTGCTGCATTTACAGGACTGTACAAACATGGCTGACTTCTGAAAGCGCTCTCCGTTGGGACAGACAAACATCACTGGAACAGTGCGTGTTTTTCGAGGTGAGCAGCAGCGTCCATCTGCACACACACTGCAGTAGTTGGGCCGGTAGAGCCTGACACTCACACACTCTCCATAGGACAGGCGTAGTGGTCCTGGGGCCTTTTGGGTTGGTGAACACTTCTGAACTTTCTGTGAAGAAATAATTCTGGTGAGTTCAACACTGTATTGAGGAATTTGGAATTTAGTCACAAATATTATACTGAAACTGAAAACTACCAACTACTGCCTGGCTGAAGTACTTTTCTTCATTGTCATTTACACTGATTTCACATTAATGATCTAAACTCCTGTGGTGTGTCTGCAGGATAAATATAGAAAGGAGTCCTCTGTCCTCTGGACAGTTGCTAAGCAGGAATGCAGAGGGTCAGAACTATATTTAAAAAGGCGCCTGGCTGCCACCACTACCATCTGAATAAAGCTGTGCTATGGACAAGCACTTCCCAAACCACTAAGGGGATCATCATATTCCTCAAATCAAGGATTAGGACAGCCCTAGAGACGAGGGAGTGTTTACACAGGGCCAGACATAATAATCCATTTGAGTTTCCATGCTTTTCAAGAGGATTTATGGTGGTGTATACAAAATAACCATGTCAGAAGAATCAAACAGTTATGGGTATTCACTAATTACGACATTTCAACTGTGTGCCTCTGTTGAGTCTGCTACATTACCTTTGTGGGAATAATAAGGCTGTGACAGGGTCGTATGGTGCAGATTCTGGTCTCTTTCTGTAGTTTACACTCAGGGTTTTTGTTAGTGATTCGAGATGAAATTCCCATTCCACAACTCCGGGAGCACTGGGACCAACTGGTGGTCTGCACTGGACAGTTATTCTCCTTGGTCCTCTTCGACATTACATTTTTCCCTGAATAAAATAAACACACAAGGTTTCAAATTAGATTATATCTAATCTACTATTGCACTGAATATGCTAGTTTGGTTATTTCATACCTGGCAGGTAGTGAAGTCCGTACTTCCCCCAGTCGTCCTTCAGTTCATTGGACAGCTTCAGTCTGGGCAGATGGTCTTTCCGAGGAGGCACCTGTCACAACATGAGATTAAACAAAGGACCAGGCTGTGTTTGGGATACTTCTGTAAGGTAACTCTACAAACAGGACAATAAATGCTATATAACTAAGTATAGTGCTGCTTAATAATAATAAAACATTAGATTTATATACCACATTTTGGGCCACCACATTCATACTAGGCAATGTAGGGTTTGCCCATGGACACAACAGTTTTGCCACTGGAGCCCCACTGTGGCACCTGGTATTCCCAGCTTCCAAGTACTAACCAGATCGAGCCCTGCTTAGCTTCTGAGATTTAATGAAAGCAGGTTTTGACAAGGTTTGGCAATGTGATAAGGAAATTGGTTGGGAAATAAATTACACAACCTTCTGATGGCAGTAATGTGTTTCCAGACCCTGTATGCAGGTATTTTTGGTACCTGAGTCGGTACACAAAATTTATCTTGAGTATATTTTAGATGATAAATATGACCAAGTAGTAGTAGTAAATAAGGCAATATTTATGCCTTATTTGACACCAGTCTCTTGCTTTTTTGAATTTATTATCACCACTTACATTTTTGCTCTTTGTTATTATATTTAGTATGATGTTTTGAGCTACTGTTTCCAAATAATTTCCCTTGTGGATCAATAAACTTTGTCTAAGTCTAAGTAGGAAAATGTGGAGGTATAAACTGTAGTGGTATTCAGCATCCCTCAACCTTTGCATGAATCAACTTTTATGTCCTCATTCTACTATTATATGAAATGAATACAGCATTTATTTATTAAGTAACGTTAAAAGTGCACTGTGTAACTTTTCTGGTGGAGGGTCCGCCACCTTCTTCTCTCTATGGAAATGTAATTACTTTGCCTTAAACAGTCTACATCATGGAAATTAGCTTATCACAAAGAACAAGTTACTGGGCAGATCTATGGACCTAGCACCTGTAATTGAATACATGCAAGGCAGCTAAGTTTAATCCCATACTGTGGAAAAATTCCATGCGAAGAAATAACATCTCCATGGAGACAAGCAAGTAGCCAACCCTTCACCCTAAAAGTTACACAATGCATCTTTAATGTAACTATTTTTATCAAGACTATTTTGACCTGATGGTACAGTGACATGTTGAACTTTATCAACCTTCTTTTTCCATGGGAGATGCCAGGTTCCTTTGTGACAGGTGACAGTGGAGCAGCACCTCCCGGGGGTCTTGATGAGTCTGGGGAAGGGGCAGGTGGGGGAGGGCAGGGGCAGCTTGTTGTTACACAGAGGAGCACAGCCCACAGCCCCATCCATACAAGTGCATTGGTGTTTACAACCAGCTTGAAAACTCTCCCCATTCTGGTACATCCGGCCGTTGTACTCACAAGTGCGCCCCTCACGTTTGGCTAAACAAACAAACAAACAAATGAAAAATAGTATTATTATTATTATATTACACAGAATTGCTTCTTATGAGCTTTTAGCCATGTTAGAATGCTATTACCTACTCAAAAAACATATCTGGAGTTGTGTTTTGTTTCATTCACACATGTTGTTCCTTTATTATTAGTCTGTACATCTCCAAAGCTCAGAATGCTCAGTTCATGCAGTAATTTTTTTTAGCGCCACCTAGTGTCTCCGCTCAATTTCTTTTCTCTCCAGTGACTAGGGTAAGAATCGGAATACACTAGACTAGACAGTTCGCAAAAATCCTGGAAGTGCGAGTCCGGGCACCAGCCAATCAGCAAAGAGCCATACATTCTGTGTTGGCAACGATTCCCAAGATCGAGGATTTAAAGCTGGAACAAAGAGAATATTCTGTGAATTTTATCAAGGGGAAAGACGTTATTGCCCTTCTTCCTATGGGATTTGGGAAAAGCTTAATATACCAGTTAACCCCGTTAGTGGTGCATTACATATGTCACAACCAAATAGCAGCGATTGGAATTCTAACACTGCGAGGTCAGACAATTTCTACGAAGTGAAACCGGCTGATGAATCGGGCTAGTAGTTTTTGGTGGTAGTTTTCAAACAACAGCTACCTTTAACCTTTTGTTCAGTAGAGACGGGCAATTCCAAGGTTAAAATTCTCCAAATAATTTTAGTGAAGGTGTACGTAGTTTAAAAACAGAGGAACACTTCTTGTATCGCCACATGACTTTAGAAGGTGGGACAGAGTGTTTTCAGTTTGAGCAAAGAACTCATGCAGGGTTTGTATGTGAATAAAACAAAACACAACTCCAGATATGTTTTTTGATGAGGACAACATTATAACATAGAACAAATAGAAAAACAATAGCATAATATGGCCCTTTAAGTAATGTCATATGTGTGATTATATTCAGTCTGGAAACACCCATCAGTTATAATCTCTCATGGTTCTGAACACACATGATACATCTTTTCCATGTATATTTTGTGCCAGTCCCAACATCTGTGGCATATTTGCAAATCTGAGTGAACAGAACTGAACAAAAACAAAGAAAAGTCCAATCTAATCTCTATGTCATTTCATACAGTTTAATAATACCACAATTCTGCTATTTGGTCTGTCATGTTTCCCGAGCTAAACTGGGACCTAAATATGGCAGTCAAAGGTTTAAATGACTGAATCAAAATAACTTAAGCAAATCCTTTACACAAAAGGACAAATTTGTGATAACATCTTCCATAGTGTAAACATGACCCAACCCATGACACACCTCTGGCCTCTCTGAAAGACAACATGCTTCAAGTGAAAAGGAAAGCCATCTCTGATTTCAGTAAGTATGTCTGCTTTAAATGTTGTGCATACATTACATTCACTCTTTTCAACACTGCCCACATCCACAAGACGCATCAAAACGAAAAAAAAAACCCAAAACCTGTTTGTATATTTCTACCATAGAAATTGCCTGACCAGTCACTTTCTTATTGTCTGTCCCAACTTGAGAAGATCCAACCACAGCTGCTAATTTGTCTCTCAAATTCTCGTAACATCCGGGACAAAGCATAACTTCCAATCCAACTTTATTTATATATCACATTTTATAAACAAGACAGTTTCCAAAGCACATTTTACATGAGATAAATAATAGTTTGGGGCTTTGATTGTTGATTCTGTAAGAAATCTATTCTGTTTCCCAGTCCTTTATTGTGTTTCTCCCCTTTTTTATGTACAAATGTTTGGTTTTGACATGAATGGAGCATGCCTCTCTCTGATAGTTAATTGGCCTGTCAATAATGCCCTCTGAAATCTGGGATACAGTACGGCTCCAGATCCACTTGTAAAGTTTTGTCAAAGCATGTGGTTCTGGCTGGTCAGGTAACAATAGAAAGAGTGTCCTTGACTTAAAGAAGAGTTACAAATAAGTTTACCAAAGAGTTTTATTACTACTATCATTACTGCTTCTACACATACTATAAGCTACTACCAGTATTACTACAACTTCTCACCTCTACAGATGCCCTCAGCTGTGGTTACATCGTTGCCATAGTTACACTCCAGGCCTTTATGGTGGTCGCAGGGCTTGAGTGGGCTACAGTCCTGGTTGAGCTGAGCAGCACACACCTTACAACAGCCACACCCATCAGGCACAGAGCTCACACCTGCCGGGCACATCAGGGGTTCCCCGGGGCACTGACATTGGGCTGGGCAGCTCGCAGTCACCTGGAGGGTAGAGGGAAAAGAGACAGAAATCATCATCATCATTAAAATAAAGTAAGATACTCTTGTATTGAAAAAGCCTCATACATAAATATGTTACTGAAAAAAACGGACCAAAATCAATATCAAAGTTGTGGTACAGGCTAATCTTGTGCATGTTTATTAAAGATGCACAGTGTAACTTTTCTGTTGGAGGGTCCATCACTTACTTGTCTCCATGAATATGACATTGGCATGGTTTTAAATTCATCTTGGAGACAGGCTGTTGGCACTAGACCTCATTATAAGTCAAATCTATGGAGAGGCGACCCTACTCACAGTGACATTGGTAATTGAATCAATTATTTTAATGCCATACTGTAAAGTATTCTATGCAAAGCAAAGACATTTCAATGGAGATGAGTAGGAAAATACCCATCAAAAAGTTACTTTATATACCTATATTATAGGTATATGTACCTTTAACCTTACCTAATCTTTTTATTTTTTAAATACCCACTGTATTACTAAGAGTAGAGTTACTCTCAAATTCTGTCTAAAAAGGTTGCACAATTTCAAATTACAGGCTTGAATGTCTAGACGGCAACATTGCGTGCCCCGTCCCCAGTCGGATTGTGAGAGTCACAAAAGACAGACATGAAGAGACATGCTAATTATCAGCATTGACAAACCAATCCAGGAAACTCTAATTATTGGCTTTTGTACAAAGACACTCAGAATATAGAAAGTACAGGGTCCTGTGCATATAATATATATATATATATATATATATATATATATATATATATATATATATATATATATATATATATATATATATATATATATATATATATATGTACACACACACACACTCACTCACTACACTCACCTTAAATGTAGCGATATAAGAATATAAGATAAGTCTTACCTGGGTGATGACTGCTGTTGTCATAGTCATATAAATCCAAAACATATTATCACCTTCTGATGAAAATAAATAGTAAGTAGTGCCTATTTTTGCATCTTTCGGCACTTTCAGTTTTTAGCACTCTTGTTCTGAGTCCTTGTTTCACTTGTGACTTGCAAAACATCCAAGTCCATTTTTATACCCCTGAAGAGCATGCAGAGACCATTCCCCTTTCCATTCCAACCAATTAGAATGCAGGTATTTTCAGTGGGCGGGGCTATAACATTAAGGATACAATGCTGATTGGTTGGAGTCATTTGGGATAAATGCAGTCATTCATAAAAATGCGCAGGTCTACTCTGTATTTATTTTATGAGTTATACATTTAAATGTAACAGGCTCATTCCTGCCTTTGTGGGTGCCGCACTTGTAACACTAAGTAAATATATTCAGCTGCTTCAACTCGCACACAGCTTAGCAATTCTAATACAGACACACTTCAAGAGAGAGGGAGTGGATTTTTTTACAGACGAAAATAGGTGCAGGGACAGAATGTGTTCTTAACAGTGCACTATCTAACTATCTGTTTAAGGGCCCATCACCTGCTTGTTTCTATGGAGATGTAATTTCTCTGCTTGGAATGTTCTACAGTATGACTTTAAACAGCTCTACCTTAGATTTACTAAATTACAGGTGGTTTTATTGCTCAAAAATACAGAAAAACTTGCATTCTGACTTTGAGTGGGTTTGCCTCTCCACAGATCTGATCTGTAACTTGGTCTGGTTTGATCTCCATGAAGATAGAAAGGTTCAGTATCATACTGTGAAACATTCCAGACAAAGCAATAACATCTCCATGGAGAAAAACATTTGACAGAACCTCCACCAGAAAAGTTACACAATGCACCTTTAATGTAAAATTACACTTTATGCTGTCCCACCCATAAAAACAACCTGGGAAATTTTCAAGCATTTCCAACAACCAGTCTCAGGGGATGATTTTCCACTTTGACTAAAAGATTAAACAGACATTTTTATATATTTTATTTCTTGAAGGTGGGTTTGTTATTACTTCTTAGTTCTTTGTCTGACATGAGGAGGTCTGGCAGGGCCTGGGTATTTCTAGCCACATGGTGCTGACATGGGAACAGGGAGGATATGAAAGAAATCACTTTATTATTGTTTAAGAAGTAGCTCATACAGGACGTCTTTTGTTTCGACTGCACACTTTCAGCAACACCCAAAACAGCCTTTGATGAGGAAATCTGGAGAGACAAAGGCTCATCTCCTGATTTTTGTTGAAAATTCACAACAGATAGGTACATCTTATGGGTGACTATTATGTGCAATATATTGAGATTTTCCCTACCCAGTTTTCCTATCCAAATGACCATTCAACTGATAGTTATATATTTCAATATCCTCACCATGTTTCTGTTTTGAATGTCCAAAATGGCTGTTTTTACACATAAAATGCCTTATTTTTATATGAAACCATTACATGATGAAAAACATTTTTTCTGTGAGCAAACAGAAGAAGTTTAAAAACTGGTAACGTCTCACTTTACAACTATGGCAGAGAATATTTTTTTCTTAATTCACCTGTCTCCACTCTGGTCACTATCAATGGAACAATAGCTCTCTAACTCAACCTTACAGGTGCCTGGGGATGTATAAAAGTGAAATGGTGTGGTTTAGGTCCCTGCGTTACTCTACTAGATCGAGTTTCAGTGAAAAACATAAAAGAACTGGTTGGTTGAAGACATGAGTGAGTTTGAATAGAAAAGTTGTGCAGGAAGCTGTCAGTCAGAGCTCTAATAGTGCGAGAGAGGGCAGAGTCATGGCCCATCTATTTTAATCCTCTGGAGTAACAGTACACACACTTTTACAATCCTAACACTGCTGCTGTTTTTACCCTCACCACGACTACGAAACAGCCAAGCACAGAACCATCATAAAAACTTCAAAAACACAAGTTAGTCCCATTTACAAATAACACAATTTACATGTTTATTCTGAATAAAAATTAAATGTTGACCTCAAAGGGAGGGTATGTAAAATTTTCATATAAAAATCAATCACCAAACTGTGAACCCAGATTCAAGAAAGGAGTGAGCGTGGATTTATTCTTAGTTACACTGGACAACATGGGACATGATGACCAAGTTGCTAATGTTATAATTTAGTGTTTTGGTTGTAAGATGATTATCCAATCAGAAATCACAATAAGCCTCACAGGAGTCCCTTATTTGAGTTTGGTTATAACCCAAAATCAGCTGGTTTAAACACAAAAAGACACCGACACCTGCAGCTTATTCATTTTTCATTGCTATTGCAGCCTCTGTGCATTTGTCATCTATATGAAGAACAATTTATTTTGTCCTATTCATTTATATCAAAAGAAAATTGTAATTCTGTCACCTAACAGAAGATGTTTCACTGCTCATCCATGTGGCTTCTTGAGTTCTGGTCAGATTGCCGGTGGACACTGCCTTAAATCTAAAGTGTTAGTGAAACCTCTTAACTGTAGAACTTTTGTGCATTTGACAGAATTGAATTTTTCTTTTGCTGTGGATCATACCTGGACGACTGAGGGATTACACATACATTTAATATATTTAGTCAATATTTAATGTGTATGGCGACTTTACAGTTAGTGATGCAACTCTCTATTGATCCGGTTTGGGAGTGGCAGGCATTACCCAGGCTTATGAATCCCATATAGGATTATAGCAAGACACGTCTGGCAGAATAGTCAAGTTATTGTAGCACTGTTACCGCTGCGCTGCTAAAAGAGGACCTTAAACATTCAAGAAAGTTCTCTAAAGATTGGCAGAGGTGGACCTGAGCGCCTTTGAAGCCTATTGTAATAAGCTCCGGGCCTGCCTTAAGGCGTACCAATGCGCTATGAGACCAGAGCGCACATGCAGAGCGCGCATCCAGAGAGCGTCTGTGCGTAACCATGGACATACGTACAGTATACCTTTACAGGCTCTAGGCTGTCGATGTGTACCTTACCCAATGGTTGGTGGCACCGATCATAAAGGGTGATCTGTGCACGTACATCTGCGTCGGTACCGCGCATGGTAATAGGAACAATACGCACACGTGTCCCAATCCTATGGCTCGTTTTGGATCTGTGTGGGTAAAGGTTTGCACGCTCGTTTGCAAAGAAACCGTGAAGCAATATTATAAATTACAGCTCTGGATCTACACAGCATGAACGATTGGAGCGAGTAGACCGGAGTGCCCAGGCAAGAGTGTGCCAAGCACATGATGGGAGGGATGTGATGGCACTGAATGGGTTTTAATTTGATTTTTTATGATTTTCTGCATGATTATATTATCCCATGATATAGTTTGATTACAAAAACCTCCCCAAAAACAAGTAAAAAAGTATGGGTTACGCAAATATAATTATCCAAACGTGAACGTGAAATATCTTGTTCTGTTTGAATGTATTCGGGTGATTGAATTGGTTTCTTCAGTGGAAAAGCTGTGTTGAGAGAGAGAGGAAGCTACAGAAATGAAAGACAGTGTCAAGGACCATGGCATTACAAAGACAATGTTTTGAGCTAAGTTTAACTAGGCCTACATAAAACCTGTGTCAGTGCAGTCTGGACAATTTCTGCAATTTGTTATGTCTCCCTCTGGTGGAAAAGCAAATGTTAACTATATTTATGACAAGCATTTTAAAGTTTATTCAAAATGCCTCAAATTACAATTAATTAATCATAACTAAGCATCATTTTTAACTAGACATTCTTTAACTGTAAGAAGGTGTTGGCTTTTTGAATCATAGATACTTCCCAAGGTTTGTTTTTTTAACAGTGAGCTTCTACGGATACAAGCTTACACCAAAATGCACATATCTCTTTTCGTCACCAGAGGGAGCCAGACACTGTATCATCCAGGTTCAATTTGCGTCAAAAAAAAAAACAAAAAACAAAGTTAGATTAGTTACTGATTTAAATCATTTTGTAGATCTATGTATTGAAAGAATGGATCAAGAAACACACACAGTGGTGGCAGGCGGATAACTAGGCTGGTTTTATTCTTAGCCCATGTTGTCTCACATTTCCTTCCTGATTAGACATCCTCTCCCAAAAGGAAAGCATCTGTATCTATATGAGATACCTCTGTCATTTTTATGTAGAGAGAGGTCTCCAAAGATATTCATTCATTCATCATGACTTGTTATAGAATCCACATTTTGCGATTTTTTTTACAAAAATGAATTTCCAATTATTCTATTGCAAAGAAGAATGGAGTGTAGTGACTTGCAACTATACTTTACACGTTTCTGTTAATAAATTTATCATTATTGTCTCATTTGTCTCATATAAAACAGATTTTCCTGTTAAATCCAATACATGTGCATGTTCATTCAGCAGTGACACTATCTTAGTCTGTTGTTCTCTGGTGTATCTTTGACTCTTTTACTTTGATGGAGGGTAAGCTTCATGAAAACAGCATCTCTCAGTGTCCCAACATTTTCCTCATCTGCCTCTCTGCTACTGCAGTTCAGAATTCCTAAAGAAACTACTATTTCCTGCTCATTGTTGGCTTAAAAGGTTTTTGCCGTCCTTTTGTCCAGTCAAGAACATAAGTGCATTGAAAAGAGATGTAATGGAGTGGTTGGCTGCTCTTGTGACTACCTGGCTCACACACAGAGCAGTTTTTGAAACTGTTTTTTTGTGCTCAGTTTTTAAACTTAATTTTATGGGATTTTAACCAACTACACTGCAAATCATGTGCATTTCAAAGGACACAAGTAAGGGAATGGTGGATTTAAGGATAAGGGAATATGGATATTTGAGATGCCACAGGCTTTTTACACTGTATGTGGCAGCAAATGGCAGAAGACCTTCCAGAGGAAATACTTTGAGCGAATGAACCTGTAAATGGCCTCGCTAGATGCTGTACTATCTATCCAAACAGCTAAACATGGACCTAGAAGAAACTTCACATATATAAATGGTTGTAATAAATTATGTACCCACATACAGTTTATTCAGACTTTGGGTAAAAAAAAAATAATGTTGATTCCTCTCACTTAAATTAGACAATAAAAAACATGTTCTGTTTACTTGTTAAATGTACTTTTCTGAAGTATTCGAGAAACTACAGACTCCAATCCAATGACAATACTGGCCTTGATTCCCCTTTTTTTCCTCAGATCTTATCCTGCAATTCAAGTGGTCCTGAGTGGTTCTAACTCAAAATCATGGAGATGGGCCCCTGAGCTCTACACTGTGGCACCAACAGCTCCATTCCAAACAGGCTGCAAAGAAGTATGAGTGAAGTGTAGAGGACACACTTCCACATGGGGACAATAAAGTACACCATAACCTTGTTTGTTTACCTTCCATTTGTTTTGAAAATATGGTCACTGAAAGTCTTCAGACCATTTGCAAAGTTTTATCAGAGGAGGTCACTGGGAAAGGAGGACAGGAAACAAAGGCTAAAGAGGTTATGGTTAAGGAGAGTATGCAGATTTAGACAAAACTAAAGGACAACAGCTCAAACAACCACTGGGTACTTTATTAGATACAATAGATCAAACTCTCAAAACACTCAGAGTTAATCATATTTAATGATAAGCATGTGTAAAACTCAGTGTATAGTAACAACAACATCTTTACACTTGCTGTTCATTTTTCTAGGCTGTATGAAAATCACGGAGAACCAAAGCTTATTCAATGTCACACTTCCTTTAATGAACTACAAACTAACTAACAATAACCTGTAATTAATAACCTCTCAGTATTGGTGATTTTCCAGATTCTAGATTATGATGAGCCAGATTTCTCATTTGATCAAGTTGCACTTTACCATGAAATATCTGGAAGGTAAATTCATAAATGCTGAACCTGATTTTTTCTATAATTGACTCAGACCAGGACTCAGACCAGTACCCAGACCAGGACGAGGTTTTGAGTACACACATTACACCAGTTTTAAAATCACTGCATTGGCTCCCTGTGAGTTTCAGGATCAATTTTAAAGTTCTTTTATTGTTTTTTTAAATGTCTTAATGGTTTTGGGACTTCTTATCTTTCAGAACTGCTTTTACCTTACGAACCTTCACGGACCCTGCGCTCCTCCGGCAGGATGCTCCTGGTCATTCTCAAGGTCAGGACACACACTCATGGAGATGGGTCTTTCCAGTACTACGCCCCCCTTCTATGGTTCATGTTTTTAAGAGCGGGCTCAAGACCCACCATTTGAGCCTAGCTTTTTTATTGAAATCTTATACTTTTACTTGTTCCTATTGTACACATTTTATTATATTTATTCATTTTAGGCATATTTTTAGGATTTCCAGTGTTTCCTCTGTAGGAGCCCTCTGCATCAGGAGCGGAGGTCGGCTACGGCTGCTGGGTCTGTCATGTGGGCTCCTGGTGGGGGGTTGGTGGTTGGGCCTCAGATGCTTGGGCCTCATCTTTCCCCTGGGCCCTTCCTGGTGGCGGGGGACAGCTGTCTGTTCCTGGTGTAGACGGCTCTTCTGTTTATGCTTTCTCAACTGATTCACCTGTATTCAACCTCACATTTTACTATAGGTAGTTTTATGTATTTTAGCATGTTAGTATATGTGTGTGCTTGTGTCTTGGCTGTTTGGTTGTGTGGGGTCAGGCAGGTGTGGGGGTTGGGTTGGTGGGTGGGCGGAAGGAAATGTGGGATTGTTTTTAATCACTGTAAAGCACTTTGTGTTACATTTTTTTTTGGATGAAAAGAGCTTTATAAGTAAAGTTTGATTGATTGATTGATTTATGACCTAGATCAACTAGGATCAGAGAGGTAACAAAAACTGACATGAAATGATGTTTGTAATTTTAAAAGGTTGGATAATTAAATTAACAGAAATGTAAAAGATATGTTTAACTAAATGTAATTAAAAATGATAAAACAAACTGTCACAATTTAATTTACATTTACAAGTTAAACAAAAGAGCAACAAAGTTAAAGTTTAAGTCAACTACCCCTGATAATTAGCAGTCAACCTTCTCTCACAGATGAAGTAAAGTTGATCTTTACAGTCTCTTTTCTCCAACAGTCCCTGTGAGTTTAATGCTCCACAGCGGTTGTGGACTGGACACTGATCTAGCTCATGACGTGTTGCAGACTCCACAGGGGCTCCACTGACCCACTGCCACTGGTCACCAAGGAAACGAAGTCCAGTCCACACCAGGCTAACTCTTTCTTCATGCATATGTAACAAGGCAGGTCCCCTATCGTTCATTGGACCGGCAAGATTTTTACCATAACGTCTGCAATACTCCAAAGCCTTCTCCCATGTCAGCGCTATCTTCACCACAGGGACTTCAATGCAGTAAAAAGGTCGTAAATCAGCTTCTGGCAAATCACTCCAATAGCTGTTATCGAGAACATGTCCTCTGTTTTCCTGTCCCATATAGTTATTTGGTTGGTCAAAAGCCCAGTTTTGGTAAGTCATCAGTCCTTCTCCAGACCACCTCCATATCGATGAGTTTGAAGGATCTCTGTAAAGCCCGATCCATCCTGATGAATAAGATCCGCTGTTTTGTAGCAAAAGTTTAAACTCTGATGCATTGCGCACATAAGCCAAGTCAGTGTGAAAGGTTCTACAGAAGGTCTGGGCATCATTCCATGTTATTTTTGAAAGATAAAAAATGTATCTCCCAAGGATTACTTCAAAAGATGCACACAAAATCTGTGTAAAGATAGCACGTGCCATAATGTTGGAAAGGTGAAACTGCCATGTGTTTACCCACCACAAAGAAAGTCCTAATATTGGTATGGATTTGAATGTAAATGCAAAACAGCTGATTTCCCAAACAAAATAGTTTCTTAATAGCTACATTTACGGCAAGCATTTAAAAATTTAGTCAGATTGCACCAAATTACAATTAATTTATCACTACTAAGCATAACTTTAAGAGGGTGTTGGCTTTTAAATCACAGATGCTTCCCAAAGTTTGGTTTCTAAACAGTCTGAGATCTATGGATGAAAACTTACGTGGCAAGACCGGCTTTGAAGGTCTAGGTTGTGGGTGCTCTTACCTGGCGCTGCGCTGGTGGACTATTTAAGCGCTCCCTTCTCAGTCGTTCCCCCTTTGGCTCACACGCTCTTCCGGGCCTCTCCTTGTGGCCGCTCTGTCCTCTAGCTCAGGTAACTTCCATTTGTAACTCCTATGCACATTATATCCAAATTTCCAATCACGTCTCCTTTTAGTGCCGCTGTTTGGCCGGTGCTCTGCACCGCATCAGTCCCTCATTCCTTCGAATCACGGAGCACCTAGTGTGCGCTTTCATCTCTGCCGACAAGGTAATGCACGCCCGATACTCCTCCACTCATTCATCCACGCCCAAATACTCTTACCGGTGTCTCTCCTTAGCTCCACGGGTGAGCCGAGTGAGTCCCTCCCCATTGCGCTTGGCTGTGCGCCACCGTGTCCCTTAAACCGCGGCGGCAGGTAACCAAAACCCTACTACCACGTGCTACCTGTGCCAACCAACTTTCTAAATTGTATGTTTATAGCGTGTGCCGGTCCACGTTGTTTGGACCACGTATGGACGCAGTAATTCTGTGTAAAGTTACCTTTGATTCAGCCTGGGGATTGCGCACTGTCACTTCCAACCATGGTATGTGTTTAGCCCAAATCCTTGTACTGCAGGCTCAGATTTAATCCCAAAATTTATCTTTCTAGGTGTCAGCGGGGGCCTGCAGCGGCGTGAGCACACCACCTTTGCTGTTTTGCTTTACGTTTGCTTTACTGTTTTGTTGTTTTGTTCTGTTTAGCTTCACTGTTTTGTTTTACTCTTGCTTTGCTTTATTTTTGTTTAGTTTTACTTCTGGTTTTGGGGTTTCGTTTGGTATTTTCAATATTGTGTACCTGTTTCTCCCACTGTAGTGTTTTACTGTTTCCCTATTTTTATGGATGTAGCCACTTTTAAATAACCTAAAACTGTCTTTTAAAATGGAGAAAATAAAGATTGTGTAAATGATGGAACCTGGCTCTCTCTCCCTCACTGATATGCTTACCTGTGTGCCTTACATTTAGACTATTTCCCCAAACTAGATTTGGGGTGGCGTTGTTGCAACAATCTATTACAAAATGTAACATTCCCAAGTGTTAACCCCTCGGTCGCCACACTTGCATCAAAATATACATATATTTTTTGTCACCACAGAGAGCCAGATACTGTATCACCTGGGTTCAATTTTTGCAAAGTTAGGGGCTAAAGGTTAGGGCAAGGAACTCCAACCTGTAGCTCTCCACCCCCTTCCAAGTAGCTTAACAAGGGATTTCAGAATTATACATACTGTGCTGAATAACTCGAATTTGATAAAATAAATACCTATTTCCTTTGTAAATGTATAATTTTGATGCCTAATTTTGTGCACTGAAAACGGGATAATGGTTCATGTTTTATAGACATCTATTTGTACCTCATCTCACCTCATCTACCATGGCTCTTATATTTACAAAATTTCTGGAGACCGCTAAAATTAGTAGCTCTCTGGCATTTTTGTTTTACAAAATGTAGCTCATAGGAGGAAAAAGGTTAGAGGCTCTGGGTTAAGGGTTAGGAATTAGGGGTTAGAGGTTAGGATTAGGTTATGGGTTAGAGCAAGGCATTATCTCATTCAGTCTCATATAAACCAGATTTTCTTGTTGAATCCAGTATGTTTGCATGTTCATTTAGCAGTGATAGGACATCTTTGCCTACTCTGTTGTTCTTTGGACCATACATATGCTCCTCCATAACTTCTGGCTCTTATACTTCGATGGATTGTGGGTTTCATGAAAACAAATTATCATCTCTCAGTGTCCCAACGCTTTCCTCATTTGCCTTACTGGTTCTGATGACACTGATGCCTACCCATTGTCCAATATACCTTATACAGTGACAATACTGACCTCAATTCCCTGTTTTTCCCAAGAACATCTAATTTCCCTACAGAGACCACAAAGTGCATCTTTACCTCATTTGTTTACTTTTCATTTGTTTTGAAAATATGGTCACCCAAAGTTGTGTTCACACCATTTGCAAAGTCTTAACGGAGTTCAATGGAAAAGGAACACAGGAGACAAAGGCTAAAGAGCTTATGGTTAAGGAGAATATGCAGATTTAGACAAAACACTGACTAAAGGATAACAGCTCACACAACCACTGGGTACTTTATTAGATACAGTAGATCAGACTCTCAAAAACTCAGTGTATAGTAACGTCTTTACACTTGCTGTTCATTTTTCTAGGTTGTATGAAAATAACATAGAACCAAAGCTTATTCAAAGTCACACTTCCATTAATTACTAATTAATAACCCCTCATTATTGGTGATTTTTTGGATTCTAGATTATGATGAGCCAGATTTCTCATTTGATCACGTTGCACTTTACCATGAAATATCTGAAAGATAAATTTGCAACTGTTGAACCTGATTTTTTCTATAATTGACTCAGACCAGGATTCAGGCCAGGACTGTGTCTAAGTGCTAAGATGTCTCATTACCATTGGAAATCGTTTATCAACTGTTAAAAATAAAATATTAAAAAATATAAAGAAAATTATTATTTTTTTCTCTTGGTGTTCAGAGATTCCTTAAAATACACTTGCTCCACCCTCAACACAACCAAACAAGTAGATCAGAAGTAGATCAAAAGAAATAACAGATCCTCACCCCGTGCAGTGTTTTAAGGCTCTGTGGCACTGTGGTTTCACCCCCCAACATTTAGGCAAGGCAAGTTTATTTGTATAGCACAATTCGTAGACAAAGTAATTCAAAGTGCTTTACAGAATAATAATTTACTGCCTTCAGAACGTCTCTCTCCACTTGTATCCTCTTGGCCTTGGAAAAACAGAAACAAACACATCAATAAAACATAGGTTTAATGTGAAATTGTATTATTTCAAAATTTGCTCAACAAATTAAATTAATCATAAGGACAAAATTTAAATCAAGGCGCAAAATGGCTAGTCACTGTTGTTATCTCTACAAAACACACACATTTGGATTTTAAAGTAATGACCTTATGTTGTTTCCTGTTCACTAAGAATGTACTGTATTTATTTCTCAAAAATTTCACTTTTTGGACAAATTCTTCTCTGTCTTGTTCTTGACTGTCCTGCAAGTTTACACACAAAAAATATGAGTTGGTCAAGTGGCCCAGGCAGAAAATGCCATATACAGCTGAAGCAGAGTTCCTTGTCAAAGTCCCAGCTCTTCAACAGTCCCTATAAGAGGTCTGGACTGGACACTGACTGACCTCATGTTGTGTTAGATTCCAGAGTAGCTCCATTGATCCACTGCCAATGGTCTCCAAGGAAACGAAATCCAATCCACACCAGGCTGATTCCTTCTCTCTGCATTTGGTCCATGGCGAAGGTTTTGTTGTCACATATTAATCTAGTGAGGTTTTTACTCTTGGATTTGCAGTATTTCAAGGCTTTTTCCCAAGATAATTTTGTCTTCCAAGTATCCAAGTAAAAATTTGGTTGTCCTTCAAGCCAGTTTGTGTATGTCATCAACCCTGCACCAGACAATCTCTTCACCTCTTTCAACCTGTCTTCTACACACCTATCCATGCCTCACTTATGTGTGAATCTGCAGCCAGCAGAATTTGGTCCTGATCACTGGGACTGTTGATAAGCGCAAGATCAGTGTGATGGTGTCTGCAGTACTCCAGAGCTTCACCCCAGATTTTATTTTGCAGGATATAAAAGTATTTTCCAATTACTACTCCAATCAAAGTGGAAAAAATACTTAAAAAATAGTATAGTAAAATAGTGAAATAGTAGTGATTCCATTGCTCTATGTTGATGTAACTCGAGTGACTTATGTTCTGTGCAAAGATTTAAGGTAATGATATAGGTTGGATAAAGCACTGAATTTCCTGATGCAAATGGAACTATTCATTGTTTAAAAACAAAGACTGAAATTCACATGAAAAACAAATTCACATTAAATGCAAACCTGAGCTTTTTAAGTGCATAGAAAAGACAATTTTCAAAATCTTAAAGGTCCTTTCACTAGCAAGGACCATGCCAAGAACGACATAGTGTGAAACAGAATCGGCGTCAGAGCACATCTACTGGAGGGGCGTGGGTCACCAGCAGGGGGGGCACTGCCAGTTGAGAAATATTTTAACGTGGTGGAGTCATACAAAGCAGAAATGCTATCAAACACGTTTTTCTATAACAGTATTAGGCTAATTATGTGTTGTTGTTATTTTTATCATTATTTTATTAAAATTATTATTATTAGCTGCAATAGATGTTGAGGCTGTATGGTAGACGATAGGCACACAAGACGATAATAAAAGGTTGAGGTTTATTAAAAAATAATACAATAAGGCCTGCCACTGGTTGTAAACATTAAACAACAGCCTCTCGTCAAAAACACCTCTGAACAACATCACTGAAAGAAGCAATCGGTCAAGAAACAGCCACGCATCGGGCAGCACCAGGGCTGTAGTGAGCGTGGTACGTGAGGGCACACCGTCCAGTCCTGTCCTATAGAGACCAGAGACCTGAGACTTGAGGGACCGGGACTAAACCAGGACTAAAACAGGACCAGTGGCAGCTGGTGGTATAATTTTTGGGAGGGGCACCAAGGCCAAAATTATAAATATATATTATGAATAATATATGTATTATATATATAGTCTATAGTATTATAACAAATACCAGAAACAGACATTTTGGTTACTATTGGCTGAACAATATCGATCAGAGCACAATGAACAACACAACGTAACACACTGCTCACACCCAGACCCAACAACGTCAGCAAAACTACAATAAGACGCTACGATCAAAACATGAACACAGATGCCGCTCCTACAGCACATGGCAGAACAATCAGAGCAGCTCCATCGCACCTGCGAGCTCATTTACGCACTATTAACTATTAACACTTAACACTATAATACTATTTAACTATTAACACTATAACACTCTTTACCTGTGAGGCTTCATGTTCAGATTTGCCGCAAACTAATGAAAACCAGCCTCTTACCTTCTCCAGAGACTGAAGCAGAATGTTTCCTCTGTCCACTGTCCCACTGGTTCTGTCTCCAAAAGTCTATTGTCCAATATGAAGAGATGAAACTGGTCCGTGACGCGAGGTCCGGGAGCCGAGTGCACAAGATGGTTGTAAAATTTGTCTTAATCCCACTTCCCACTTAAATCTGAAAGTTACGGTCAGTCCATATCAGCACCAGGATACCAGGTAGAATTATGCCTCTGCGCGCTATGCTCAGGTCAAACTTTTACACCCAGAAACGAGCGGGCAAAGGCGGGTAGAGCAGCGAGCGACTGCCCTGGCCCCGGCGGCAACTGCCCCAGTCCCGGTAGTGACAGTCCGGGGTCCCGGCGGCGGGTCTGTCAGTGTCTTTGACTCTGTTCTCGCCATTTCCTGTGTAGAGCTTTAGGCTAAAGTAGCAGCTGCCGCTAATTGTGAAGCAGCTACGAGTTGACGCAGCAGGTTGACGTGAGTGACAGGACAGTTGTCCAATCACACTACACTAAATAAACAGAGACTGTGATATCGTAAAGTTTGTGCCCTCAGCCCGAAGTGAAATGCGCCAATCAGAATCATTTTAAAATAGTAATAATAACGGCCTGTGCTGGGGGGTGGGGCACCAGTGGCCGCTAGGGGGGCACGGCCCTCAAATGCCCCACCTTGCCGCCGACACCGCGGATAAGATTACACTTTAGGTTAAGTTAAAGTTTTTTGTTCCTAAACCCGGTGAACGTGAGAGACACGTCCGTGCGTCGGCGCCATAGCAACGTACAGGCGCGGGGACTATATAAAGCGCTGCATCTTTTAAATCGGTCTGTTTTCACTTGAACTCGAGTGAGAAATTTCACGCAATATCGCTGCTGCTGGTAAAATATACTTTGAGATTCCTTAATACCAATATTTCTTGAAAAAAAAAACTACACTTTGGGCATCAGCACACTTTCTAATCCTACTTTGTTAACTCGTTTCAAGGTTTGCAAC